AACATAGAGTCACTCTACTGTCTTTATTCAAGAGCATGAGCCTTCAATTTAAAAGCACAATTTCTTCATTTTACATTCAGATTTTGTAATGCTTTCTCTGCAAACTCTGCCCACTCTCTCATTTAACCCCTGCTCAGATGCAAATCTGCTCTGCTGCTGCTCAAACCTGTTCACACTCAGATATACGTCTGCTTGCACAAATGTCCTGTGCTATCAGACTGTTTCTGCACACAAGCGAAACTTCTACTCCCAGATTTGTGCTCCTGCTCTTGGATCTTTGTGAAACACACCTGTCAAACTTCCACAACCAACAGAGTGTCAGGTATGGCTTTGACCCATGATTTTGTTACTGTGTAAATAAATCAATTCACTCCCGTCCTACAGGGCTTATTATATAAACTTCACTTGTTTTCTTGTAGGACTTAATACTTTTACTAATGCCTGTATTTTTACATAATAGCTACATTTAATAGTAGCCACATAACACACTGGCTTCCCTTTGCATTGCAAGATGAGAAAATTAGGTCAGTTACGTTCTTTATATCATCCCTTATGTGCGGTTACTGTTTAAGGGACTTCAGGTGATCACACGCCACCATGGATCACCCAGATCTGAGGCTGTATTTTATTTTATGGGGCTATTGCTTTCTTCAGATTTAAATGATAAAGGCATACTTGCAGAGGGGCAGTTACACTTTCATTGATCAACGTCATACCTGGTATTATATAGGTTGGGTAACTTTGACATGGTTGTTTCACAAAGATCTGAACGCGGAGCAGGGGGTGTTGGGGAAGAGAGAGGGAGGGTTTTGAGGGAAAGCATAACAAAATCTCAAGGTAAAATGAGGAAACTCAAAGTGAGAGGCCAGGTACTTAACTAAAAATGAATCCTTATTGTTACAAATAAAATCATATCCCACATGCATTAGAATGAGGGAAAGATCAGTTAAATTTCAAGATGCTTTTGTGAAACAAGGGCCACCGCAGTTTTTTCTGGATGTGGAACATCTTCAAGCAGCCGTCCACCCTCAGCCCTCTGTCTGCGTTTCAGAGGTGTGCTGTGGAAGCAGTTGACCAGCAGGGAGCGACAGCGCTTCACGTCGCAGCAGAGAGGGGCGGAGTGGAGGTGAGCTGGACACTGCTGCAGAGAGCAGGATGCAGGATGCTCCATCAGAAGAATCACAGCGGCCTCACACCACTGGATCTCAGCAAACAGGGGAAAACATTTAGGTGACTCTGCTCTCGTTACAGATATTTGGAAAGGCATTAACTAGCGGGCCACTGCATGGGGTGGTAACATCCCGTAGTGCCTTTAAAACATCCAGTAGGTTTGCTTTGCCAGATAACATTTTTCTCTTGGGAGTATGATGCTGATTAATACTATGCTGTATTTTTCTCCAGACATCAGCAACTCACCAAACTACTGAGTCGGTACATTAATGAGCCAATACACCACAAGCCCAGAGAGTCTCACGGTGAATATCACTCTGTAGTTTTCCTCATTCAGTTGCAATAAAAAAAAAAAAAACAAGGATAATGATTATGTTGATAACAAAGGTAATTATAATGATATATCTGTGACACTGAAAATGTTTTGTGTGTGTGTTTATCTGCTGAATGCACTCATATGCATTGGAACATTTCTGTGATGTGTTGTTTGTCACCAGTTTTATACTACTGGACACTGTTTTTTCCGACCCTGAGTGGAGCTGCCATCCTGCTAATAGCAGCCATGTTGGGAGGCTATGGGGGACTAACCTGCGGTTTGCTATTTCCCTGGTTGGCAAGAAGCATTTTCACACAGTACCATCGCATGACCACATACCAAAGGTTTGACTTACAGTGAAGCACATATGTAATGCTCATCAGTATGTTATCATACTTTACTGTCTTTTATAAATCCCTGTTGAGATGGCATCTGTTGTCCTTCTAGGTTACCTAACCCGATCTACTTGGGAACCCTCCTAGCTGGTTTGTTCCATTCCCTGCTCTGCTTCTATGGAAAAATGATGCCCAATATCCTTAATAGACATGTATTCATTTTTCTTGATTTGCTGTTTTGTTTTGTTTTGTTTTTTTCCCAGCTAAAAGTGTGATGTGAAGCTTAAAATGTTGATTGGTGTCGTGGTCTAACACTTTGGTTCAGGGAGGGAGAGCTCAACTAAAGACTGGATTGCTTTCAAATTAGGACTGAAATTAATGACTCTTGCAAGATGATTCCCAAATATTATAGCATCACCATCAGTTCAACTGACATTTTTTATCTATGACACAGTATTCTTAGGAGATAGTCATGGACCCCAGGCGATGAATCCTAATGTTTGTTTACTCCCTGTCCTTTCTCTTTTCCACCATCAAGTCAGTGTTTTTTCCCATTGAATTTTCATTGAATGAGCACATTTCAATGGTATTTGCTAAAGACTTTCAAACTCCCCAGTGAATAAATGCTTTGCATTTCAGACACTCCACAAGCTTTTTGTACTCATAACTGTTATTGGTCAGTGCGCTGTGTAGGCGGGTTCTAAATATGCACAGTAAAACAAATGTTAACTAGAATTTTTTTCTATTAAAATTACATGGGTTCATCCTTAACAATATGAATGTGTGTGGCCAACCAGTGCTCTGGCCCAGGTGTCCCTGGTCCATTTCTCCATACTCCTCGGTTTGTTCTGTAAGGTTCTGACTCAGGACCCAGGGGAGCTGGACAGAGCAGATGCAGATCCTCGGTTCTCCTGTATCGCTGACCTGGTGGAGAACAACCAGAGTCCCCACAGATTCTGTCCGTACTGTGAGGTAAGACAGAACGTGGCTCAGAGAGGCATGGCATTTTGCCTGTGTAACTTGTCACCCATTTAATTGTCAGTCTTTCTGTCTAGATCTAGAGATGACCTATTTGTATGTGTGCAAACGTCTTGACACACCCCTTCTAAGATCACATATGTCACAACAGCCTTGTAGTCCGTACCAGAAAATAAATGCAAAATATTTTATAGCGAGTTAATCTTCATGCCATTGAGAAAGAAACCTTTTGAGTAAGGTTTGATATGAAATTAAAGATCCACGTTGGACTGGTTGGATTACTTCCCTCTGGTATGTTGCTCTTCTTTCTACTCTGTTTTTGTTTTTCTCACAGTTGTTTCAGCCTGACTACACTAAACACTGCAAGCTGTGCGAAGTGTGCATTAAAGACTATGACCATCACTGCCTTTTCCTCAACCGCTGCGTCGGCCGGGGTAACCACCGCCTCTTCCTCTACTTCATCCTCTCCATGGTTACAGCACACCTTCTTTTTGTTGCCACAGCAACAAGTTACCTGTACAGCAAGATGTCTGCGAGCAGTTACAGCTTGTCGTCGTGGTTCGCGTTGTTTGGGGAGGAGTTCTGGGTGGTGGTCATGATGATTATGAACGCTCTGACGGTCCTTTGGGAGGTGTGGCTTCTGACTGAGCAGTTTGAAGCCGTCGCCACGGGAACGACCACCTACTTCAGACAGTGTGAAAGTTCAGCGCGGCAGAGGTCACTCGGACAGCGCTGGGTTTTAGTACTGTCGTTTCTGCTGGAGGGTCGGAGACGGGTGGGCAGCGGACAAACCAGGGAGGACAAAAATGCCATAGACATTTAAAACTGACACTGTGTGCAGTTGTTTTAAAAACTGATCCATCATTACCCAACTCAAAATATTAATTCTCGGTTTACAGTCTTTGGTGTGCAGTCAATTTTGTGATAATATCTTCCTTAGAGTCAGTATTTCTCTAATGCCATATAACATCTTGTACTTGAATGTAACATTTTGTTATATCTTAATATTATATTTTAATATTAAATAGGTTATAGAGCAGATTCTCCAGCAGATTTGTCCACAAAGTTGCTTGCAGGATAACTACCACTAAGAGTTTCCTAGTTTTTAGAGACCACACTGAGTACTTTTAACAGAACAGTGTTTTAACTCACCTGTTGGTTTACATAGTATTGTGTGAAATACTGGATATTTCAGAAACTGTTCTAGCACAGAGCACCTCTAATAAAATGAAGGCCCACATTTAAACCTGTTTTTATATTACATATCAGTATACTTTTTTAATGTCAATAATATTTTTCCTTTAAATAAAGGTTTGTCGTGGTGTAAAACACACTGTAGATCAAAGTTTATGTACTCCTAACATTAGCAAGTCTTGTGATTAGCTTGTGCTAATGGTTAATAGCAGGTGCACCGAAAGACTTTGTTCCTAACATAATGTCATTACCTCTCCGACCTGCTCCCAGTCATTTGTGCCATGACACTTCCTCTGCTCTCACTAATGGGACATGCTCTTTTCATGCCTTCAATTACACACACTCATTTCCTATGTGTCCCTCAGGACCATATTTCTAGATTATAGATGATGTTCCCCACACCCCTCAGAGGCTGGTGTGTCTGGACTGTGTGAGTGGCTATGCCATGTGATATAATTTAGTGTCTACTGTACTGCCTTTTGTGCACATGGAGTGATTAAGTTGAGCACATGCGAGCCTGTGAAACTGAGTGCTTTTACTGTATTTCTCTGTCCCCGAATCAGTGTTCATGTATCCAGCTGACTGCCACTTGTCGATAGCCCAGTATATTTTATGTGTACTAAAGTATTTCATCTGTGGTGACACAGTGTCCTTCGATTTCCGAGCTGATACCTCATTTGTGCCATAATGTTTTTTATGCTGTAGAAAAATATGTGTAATAAAAACACGTCTGTCATTTATATATAAAAAAGATACTGATCTTTATGTTTTCTGTCATTGTATAGCAAGAGAGAGAAACAGGTTTTTCAAATCCAAAGCTTTATGACCTTCCCTCTTGATTTACATAGGCAAAGCACCAGCGGGCAGGGCACTAAATTTTGAACAACAGAACATGTACAGTAGAATCATTTAAAGGAGAAACTCATAATATTGTTCACACAGAAGTCAGCAGTTTTCACTTCTCCATCAAGGCAGCTTACTTCCTGACTGAGAGACAGACTGAAAATTCAGAAGAGGACGGTGGAAGAGCATCGCAGCTGTGTTTTATTTCACTGTAAAGCAGTACCTATCGCAGCAGCTGCTTGGGACTGTGTGATGCTGTCTTGGGCTGCACAGAGAGTCTGGCTCCAGACTGAGAGTCGCCTGGTCTGCCCGTCCGAGATGACATGGCAAGTAATACTCGCATGACTGTCTCTATTTCCTTCCTTCTATCAGTGTCTGTTCACATCAGCATTCCTCAGCCAGACGTCATTGGTATTAATGATGGCAACTATAGTAGTTCCTTCTCTGTGGGTATGCGAATGTCATTTGATTTGTTTCGTGGGCATTGTTTATTAGGTCGACAACTGAGATGTCAGTGTTGTCATTGTTTTGACCCTGAATGTGCCTGTGTGTGTATGTGTATGTGTGTGTTGTGGCTGTAGAAATGGCCCCAGTGGAGAAGGACGCACTGTACAGACGAGTTCAGTGTCATGAAACCATCCAGGACTCTTCAGATCAGTGACAAACCAAAGGAACTGGCAGGTAAAGCTCAGATTTTTGTTTGTTTTGTTGTGATGATGACTGTGTGAAGCAAGGTGATGGTTTGTTTTGTTGCTGTTTGTCAAACTGGCTGGTTATGTGGTGATGTTGATCTCAAATTTTAAGGTATTCTTGATTTTTTTTTTAGGATTTTTGGCTCTCTGTCATATGTAGATGTGTAAGCCCTGCATTATCTGCAAGGGTATAAGCATTATCTACAAAAACGTGACAATTATACTGCCATACTTATATATTGCTAATATACTGCTACTTTTCTATAAAGCCTTCATTAAAGCAGGCTACAGTGTCTTTCAAAATTGACTACTTATTATGCGTAAGCTGAGAAACCATGGTCAGCTCTCCCTTTCAGCAGTGTCTCTGTACTGCATTTTCGTCTCATCCAGCCTCTTGAACTGCAGCATTTATTGGCTTTATCACGTTCGCTGCAACTCTACCAGGCTGAGAAGGAACAAGAACATCGCACCCCTGAGTGTTGTGGCTTTTATCAGACAGATTACAGAGTGACTGAGTAGTGTGGCATTTACCCTCAGTCTATAAATCTCAGCCAGAATGAGTCAGGATAGTGGAAATGAGTGGAGCGCAGTGTTGTTTTGTCAAGTTTGAACACATGTCCTCACAAATTATCACATGTTTAACATCTGCAATGTATTATACAGCTGTGTGCAAAAGACCAGACACCCTTAGGAAACTATATATTTTGTTGATTTAAAAAAAAAAAAAAAAAGTAAATAAAACCACTGCAGCAAAAAGACATTAAATTGGATATTTGTTTAAAAGTTATTGTGCTGTAATTTTTTTGTGAATTTAAAAAAAACAAAACAAACAACAACAACAAAAAAGTAATTGTGGCATTTTTGTGGCATAAGTTTAGGATCCTACCAAGAGTATTTAGTAGCCACCCTCAGGCAGATATAGCTACCTGGGGTAACTGACTATACTTTGCAAATGTTTTCTGGTGCCAGCTAAGAATCTGTCTGTTTTCACTTAAGGAAGTTTCACAAATCACTTCAAATTCTGAGCTGTTTTTTTTTTTTTTTTCTTGTCTGTCTCGCATGCACGACATGTTTAAGACATTTTCAGTGATGTTTATGTCAGGGGATTGTGAGGGTCATTCCAAGAGCTTGAAGTAATTTATCGTGGAATCTGAAATCTGTTTTATATCATTATCCTGTTGAAAAAAAGTCTCTTTGCAGTTTAAGTTTCTTGACTGACTTCATGACGTTTACAGAATGTGCTGATATTGAGTAGAATTGTATTTGCCGTTTATCTGTGCAAAGTTTCCTACGTAGCTCATAGTAGAATATTTCCCCGCCTGTGTTTGATGTGTATTTTTCATCAAATGCTACTTTTTTTCTCCTCCAAACGTCTTCATATGTCTACAGCGCTGTCCAAAATAACTTATCGAGATGTTGCTGCCTCTTATGATGACATCACTGGTAGAGTTTCCTTCTGATGACTCTTCATGTAGACCTTATTTGTGCATCAATTCTGCATGGTTAAATGACTGACCGCCGCTCATGTGTCAGCTAAGCCTTCCTGCAAGTTCTTTGCAATCATGTGGGAGGTTTTTTTGGTCTTGTCTTGACTTTCCTTCAACTGTCATTTCCTAATTGCACTTTAGGCAGTGAAAATTGCAAGCTGAAGGTGCTTTGATATCTTTTCATAGCCTTCTCCTGCTTTGTAGGCATCAATTAGTTTCATTTTGAGATGCTCAGAGGAGTCAGCACTTAGTGAGTGTCACCACAGATTTGAAGAATTTATCAAGTTGTATTCAGCTGACAAATCCTATTGACAATTGCACTGTTGATGTAGTTGTTAGTTATGAAATTGTAAGACTTTACTCGTAGAATGGTGCTCAACATTACCGTTTCATATTTGTTTCTGCTCTTCAGTGTATTCACATTTGAAAGATTTACTTTTAATGTCTGTTTGCTGCATGGGACATCTGTTAACAAAATATTTGAATTGCCCAAGCTTATTTATACAGCTGCAGGTACAGGCAGTACAACGCCGCGTCCACGTGCTCTGCATCAAACGTTTAGTGGTGAGAATGGTGTCGGTTAAATCAAATGTATTGATCTGAGGTTCTACTGCAGGTACAGATGAGACCTTAATCAAATCTCCATGAGCAGCTGGGGGGCGGATTGTGAAGACTGTGGTGCGATAAGGGGGAGCCGATATAAAGAAATTGGGGGACAAGACAGAGGACACACAGCCAGACATATTTATAGATGGTGAGAAATTGATACTGAGTGTGCAGCAGAAGGCAGAGAGACAGATGAGAGAGAAGGGAGAGAGAGAGAGAGAGTGGGCAGGGCTCTAGGTATGTGAGAACAACAGCACGCCGGGCCAGTGGGACAGAGAGGGGGGAGTCAGACGAAAGGGAAGAGGAGAGTGTGTGTGGCTAAGTGCTCGTGAGTGTGTGTGAGTGTGAAATCAGACGGAGTCCAAGTGCAAGACTGTGAGCCAGGGAGAGAGATGCTCGAGGAGGATGAGGAGTAACAGGGCGAGGCAGCAGCGAGAGGAGCTGGGAGTGTGTGTGTGTGTGTGTCTGCGTGTGTGTGTGTGTGTGAGTAATAGTGTGTGAACAGAGGGATGCAGTCATGTCTCTGTGAGAGGGAGCAGCACAGCAACCGTAACCATGCTGAGCCCCAAGATAAAACAGGCACGCCGGGGTAAGCGCTGTCCCTCCTCCCTTTTCTCCATCCCTTCTCTGTGCTTCAATTCTCTCTGCTGTCTTTTTCCTTGTTCTCTTGCTTCTTTCTAGTCTTCCACTCGCTGTCACTGCAGAGCTTCATCTGTACTGCTGTCTTTGTACCACCAATATTCTTGTCAGTGCTTTCCTTAACAATGACATCCAAAAAAAAAAAAAGGTGTAACAGTACCACGCTAGAGTCAAATCCTGCACACCGGTGTCCTTCTGCATCCTAGTGACCATTGTTACAGAGTTTTCCTGCATGATCTGAAGTGTGGAGCCTTTCTGCTGTTCTGCCAGTGGTCATTGAGAGTTAGCAGGCTCTACTACAGGGTGATGTAATGCATCATGTCTCCCTGAAATGACTATACCATCCTCATTCCTGGAAAATTTGATTCTGGAGATTCTGTGGGTTGTAGTAAACATGGCTGCTGGAAAAAAGATTCTCCCTCCAACAATGGTCTGCATCATGACATGTTCGCACCTGAGCACATGACTGCACCCCTGTTTGTTCAAGGTTTACCCCTGCTGTTAGGACGTGGTTTTGGGCAGGTGACAGACTGGAGATGTGAGGAATGCGTGACTCTCTACTTCTGTAAATCTCAACAGCTGACTGTCAAACATAGTTACTCTAATGCGGGTTAAAATCCATTTGTGACCACTGAAGTTGGGAAACCACATATACATGCCTCTCACATGACTGTGTGAAGATGAATATGGAAGCTGTAAATCACAGGAGCAGCCTCTGAGGTTACTATGCAGAGTATAAATACTTGCTGTGCTTCTCGTAGCAGGTGGTTGCTAGTTAACTGCTTATGCTGTTTCAGGTGGCTTGGGGAGTTGTGACAGTAACCACCTTATCCAAAGATAATGGCTTTTTTCTTTTTTTTTCAAACAAAACGTGATTGCTGTTTCAGATGTATTTCCAGCTGACTGCTCATAAAACTCATTCTCATATTCTCATCTCCGAATTAATTTCACATTGAATGAAAATGGTCATAACAGAGCGAAATATTGGCTCTCGAAGGACCCTCACATTTGCGCATCTTTAGGCAGCGATGTTACTTCATTTCTCCCCTGGCAGTTGTTGACTTGTTCGAGACCAGCCTTAAAAACAAGATCATAAAAGATGATGGGAAGGAGAAGTGCCTCTTCCATCTTCTTCACGAACACAGTTGGAGAGTGCAGTAGCCACTTCAGTTTGCTTGCCACGTCTTATTCGCTTGCCATCTCTCATTTGCTGTAATGGTGTTCTCCTTTGATTAGATTCCCAGCTCTGCTTTCCTCTGACCCTTTTATGCAACATCATTCAGGGCAAATTCAAACAGCATCACAGAGCTGGGTCTGCCCTCAGAAGCTGAGATATCGGACGCGAATCCTAAACAGTTGTAGAGTACAGGATGTCATCGGTAAAACTCTGAGCATGATGTGGTTGAGGCGTCTCCATTACCTGCATGACTGAATAAGTGTCAAAATACTAACTTTTTAATGAATAACTACGGACTTTCTTCGACAAGATATTGATATTGAGATCCTACAGACGCAAAATCCAGACAGATCTCATGCCGTCTTTATCATTGCCTCAAGATTTTACTGATGAGATTTAGTCCAAAATATAGAAATTTAGATTCTGCACAATGTTAATCATAATCATCAATAAAAAATAAAATAAAATAAATTGTAACAGTCTAATAAAATAAAATTAAATAATAATAATTTAATCCTGGTATGAAATAAGTTACAGGACTGTATGATAGATAGATAGATCACTATACATCACTATACTTCAGATGAAAAAACCTTTTACTCCATTTGATTTGACAGTTATTGTTGTTTTATAGATATTATCTAATAACCATTTTATTATATGTATGTACAATACTTATAATGAGCTTCATATGTAATGTGGAAACTAAACAATAAATACAGTAGCTTAAATCTGCTCCACTGCATTTAAACATAATGGCACAATGCTACAGTAATGCATCATTAATAATTTACATAATGCTAATGTATTATAACACAGACTGGGGCCACTTTTCATACACAGTGAGCACTTTTCTTTTCGATACTTCGGTGGATGAATGTACTTATGCATGGTTGCTTATTAAAACTGTGCTTAAGTGTATATTTCAGGCACTGTACTTTATAGATGGAAATTAGATTAGAATTTTAAAATATATATACTTTAACTTTACCACATGCATTTAACAACTGTAGTTCCTCATTTCTTTACAGATGAAGATTTTACATAAAATGCAGCTGATCAGTTTTTAAACCAACATAAATATTATTTCATATTAGCTCCCTCTTTCCCAACTACAGCAGTAATATGTCAGGTAGATTTGTATAGTAAATGATATTGTACGGTCTTAATCCAAATGTTTAAATGAATTTTGTAGTATAAACAATCTTACGGTCTTAACTTTATATTTAACCTTGTTTCTCATTGAAAATCACTTTGGCTAAGTGCCTCTCATTTTGAACGTGCTATATAAATGAGTGGCAGAGTGATTTGGCTTTACAACTACACTGCTTTTATATTGATGCATGAATTAACTTTTACGTTTGATAATATTTAGGAACTCTCTCTTTTGAGAATTTGATTTGCAGAACTTTTACTTAATAAAGAATTTTTTAAATTGTAGGACTGGGGTACTGATTGTTGTCAGTGAGCTCATACAGCAGCTCATTAGTGACATAAATGTTCTTTATAGGATGTGCAAGTACTAATCAGGTGATGTGAGACATTTTGAGCAATATTATTTCCTGAAAAAACAAAAAGATAACTATTTAAACCTTGTGCAACAACAGTTTATTTCTGCTGATAGCAGATTCAAAATGTTATTTTTTTCTTTAGATTTCATCTATTTTATAAAGATGTACAAGATGTGGGCATTACTGCAGTATCTTTATAGTTTATAGTTCTTGTTTAGCCTGATTCTCCTGACTGCTTTGTTAATAACTGCTTCACGTGGTCCCTCCCTTCCCAGCAATCATGACACTGCAAAGGAAGGACATCCAGAAAGGGGAGAAATAAAACGAGGCGTCCAGACAGAGAGTTGATAAGCAGGAGAGAGAGAGAGGGGAAACAGGAGTGAGAAAGGGAAAGAGATTTTAGTCCAGGCTCTCACAGATACCTTCCCTGCTGTCCTCAGCAGAAAGAGAGATGCAATTAACAGGAAAAAAGACGCCATTGATTTCTCTCTCTCTCTTGTATCCTCTCGCTATGCCTTCTGTTTATCTCTCTTTCTTTTCTCTCTCTCCTTGACTCCCCAGGGATCATTCTACTGTCGCTGTTTTTGCTCTATACCTTTGGCGTACAGATGCTAATATATAATCCATACTTATAATCAGTCTGTAGCAGTTAAAACGTGGCCTCAGCCAAAACAAAACTCTGTTCTGCTCAGCAATGAAAATACAAGTAATATAAGCCCTTATTGATATCTGAAACACATAATAAAATGTACTGAATAGATAGATGGATTTCATCTAGCAGCAGAGTCTCTTTGCTGCAAAATGGAGGCCTTGCCTTGGTAGATTGACTTAAGAGGAAATCTGGATGCATGGTCAAGCCTGTGGGCTTAGTCGTACCCGAGGGAGACTTCTGCGAATAATGATTGTGAATCGTCTCCTGGTGAATTTCAGTAAAAAATAGCAAAACAACAAAAAAGGAAAATCCCAAAATAACGTGTCCTCTGTGTTGTGCAACTCTCCATTTTGTTATCTTTCTCTGTCACCTTCTCTCTGGTGCTTTAATCCTGCAAGCTTCCTTTTCTTCACTTGATTTCAATGTGTGTGTGTGTCTGTGCAGCGCGATCCAAGAGCATGGTGCTTGGAGAGTTGTCTCGGGTCTCCAGGCCCTGTTCACCCCTGGATCAAGAGAAAGCACTGAAGGCGGGCTGGCTGAAGAGACAGCGGAGCATCATGAAAAACTGGCAGCTGCGTTGGTTTGTCCTGAGGACCGAAGCTCTGTATTTCTACAAGGACCAGGATGAAAGCAAAGCACAGGTGCCACAAAGTAACACAAATACAAAAACAGTTATGCCAAATGTTGTACGGCTGCGCTGCTGCACGTTTGGATTCATTCCGCTCCAAATCCTGATACATATTCAAGCTTCATGAATTTATCTGATTAGTACTATAACCCAAGGCCAGCCAATCCATTATGCGTTCTCCAACTCTAATAATAGCTTTTTCATTCTCTTAAATCATGTGACAAAATACATTTTCTAGCCCTCGAGTAAAATGAAGCAGTATTCAGTGTTATGTGACCATGATTTTTAAAGTTCTACATGATAATGTGTGTTTAAAAACAATGAGTAGATAAATATCCATTCATCTTTTACGCAAAAACCATCCTCCATTAAGACATCCCCACATGCTCCATTAAAAACATCATTCGTTGTTATTGCCCTGACACACACACTGATAATGTGGTAACTAGCCGCCCTATGGTTCTGCTGGAAGCACTTAGTAGTTGACCTTTGACCCTCTCCATGCTGGAGGAATCAGAATTGCAAGTACATCAGGAAGGACTAGAGGGATAAGTAGATGAAGAGATGTTTCCCTGAGTCATCCCTCCCTCCATCATCATTACCTCCCTCTGTTGGACATTTGCCCAGAGTCCAGTGTACTCAGAACTCCGCAATGTTTAACATGCACTTCGTGTCCGAGTCAAGAACCACTGCCTGTCTGTCAGTCTACCTGTCTCTCACTGTTCTCTCCTTTCTCCTGCAGGGTTGTATTCCTCTTCAGGGTAGTCAGGTCAATGAGGTGCCTGCCAATCAGGACGAGCCTGGCCGCCACCTTTTTGAAATTGTTCCAGGTGAGTTGGCATGTTGGCAGCTCTGTTGTGTAAGGAAGCACGCAAGTGAATAAGCCTTGTTCAAGTGATGCTGAACAGTCTGTTTGGTACTGAGTGCCAAACAGAAAACAAGACAGAGCTCATTTTAGACTTTTATCTAAAATGTTATGTTTCATTTAACCCAGAGGTATTGTTAGATCTTTTTGTAGTACAGACATCAAGATCAAAGCGGGACTCAGGATCACACTTACATGCAGCAGCTCATTTTTTTGTGTAACCCATGTTGACCCAGAATCAAAGTGAGTAATGGCAAAAAACAGAAGAAAATCAATAGCTACATTTGAGTTACAGGCCCTAGCGCATGCATGAAATATGTAGAACAGCAGAAAAGATGTGACTGCCACAGCCATGAGCCTGAGGGCTCAACAACAACTTTGTTCATTTCTGCTGTTGATCACATGAGGTTGGCATAATTATAGCCAGAACAGTGGGTATTATGAACAGCACATAGATCAGAGGGCCTGTTTGGAAAAAAGAAAGAAAGAAAGAAAGAAAGAAAGAAAGAAAGAAAGAGGAGGGTACATTTTGGAAATTTTCTTTGTAATTCTGACAGTTTGGTGATCTATTGGATATGTGGTTGTAAAAAGTAATATATATTCCCTCTTGCTGAAACATATGTTCAGACATGCATTTTCAGTTACAATGAGACGAATGTCCAAATATTTGACAGCTGCTGCAAATTTGATGGCTGTCGTTTGTGTTTATATTTGCATTTAATGATTAGATATTATTTAGGTGTTTTTGTTGTTGTGTGCATCTTTGCTTTAAGGATCATTCCAGTATTTGCACAAGTCGTATCTGATTAACTATGGAATGACACTGACAAAGATAAAAGAATTCTTAAAGTGTCTGCATAGCTGTAGTTTGAGATCTCTGGTTACTACTAGGATTGTCAAAAGTGGGTGCAGAATAGTTGTCTGACATAGCTACAGTACTGTGTGAATGTCATGGGCACTAAAAGTAAAGTGGTTTCAAAATGTATGGAATTAATAGTTTTGATTTAACATTTACTGTACCTTCAAAGTGAAGGTGAAAAAACTAAGTCAATATCTGGTGTGATTCCCCTTTGCCTCTACGACAGCACAAATTCTCCATGCGTGGAATTTTCAAGGTACCTGGCAGGTATGTTGTTTCAAGTGTCTTGGGGAACTTGAAGCAGACCTTCTGTGGATTTAGGCTGTCTCGGTCTCAGCTTCTGTCTCTTCATGTAATCCCAGACTGACTCAGTGATGTTGACATCAGGACGCTGTGTGGGCCATACCATCTGTTGCAAGATTCCTTGTTCTCCTTGTTGCTGAAAATAGTTCTTTGTGACTTTGGCTGTATGTTGAGTCGCTGCCATCCTGGAGAATGAACTTGGGACAATCAGATAAGAATCTTAACATCTAGAGTGCCTTAAACTTCTTTATAATACTGTCTTTTTTCATTATCATTTTCCCTCATTTAACACCTCACATAAAGCCATTGCTTTTTTTCTTTGTTGTTGCACAGAAATTCTAAATACAGACAATCATTCTCACAAATTGTCTTCTGGTGATTTTCTGGATGGTGATTCTAAATGTATACCACACTTATGTGTTTTGGAATATGGTTGGCAGTCATGCAAAATTATTCCAATGTATATTATAATAGATGGGGTAACATGTGCAAAGACACTGCCCTCTTTTAATATGTGAGATAGAGTCAAGGGTAGAAAAAGTATGTTATTGAAATAACAGAGAGATACAGAGGAAAAGGTCCTGGACAGAACAAGAGGAGAGGCTGAGTGAGAGGCTCGGTGCAGTTGCTGGTGTCCCCGGGGAGCACTACTCTTTCTGGGTCGTTTCTCTCACACACAACACACTATGCAGCGCAGTGCAGGACTTAGCAGTGAATGCAGGTACTAATATGTAACCTACAGAGCGAGGTACGTGCAACCCACTTTCAAAAACTGATTTTTAGACTGCTTTTTTTTTTTTAACGAAGGTCAGTACAAAATATAAAAAAAATGTTCTATGTTTTTTTTTCCTCTTGAATCCTTTTATATCTAAAACTCAGTAGTGCTTCCACATCTTCTAAAGCAAATTTTTACAAAGGCACATGAAGGGAGAGAATTTTACATAGTTTAATCAAAGTGGAGTTGAAATAAAATAAATGTCAAGGTAAAATGTCAAAGCGGATGGTGTCAAGCTGTGTGCACACAGGGGAAGGAAAGCCAGGGCTTCGTGGCTGTGTCTTTGTACTTGACAGGGGTGCTTGAGCTAATAAGGTTACTGGAAATATTGATACTGATATATTTAGTTAATAGAGCTTGTTTACAGATAAAAGAGCGTCTGTAAACTAAAATCAGTTTGGCAGTTACTTCTGAAAAGTAATTTGCAGAAGTGGTATCTGCTGCATGGGTGTATTGCATATATTTAAAGCACAGTGGTGCTTTTTGAGATGTGTTAAGTCATTTTGTCATATTGATCCAGAAAGTCATAAAATATTGCTGTGTTTTCAGGAGGGACTGGAGAGAAGGATCGAACCGGTATAAGCCATGAATCATTCCTGCTGATGGCCAACTCTCAGAGTGACATGGAGGAGTGGGTCAGAGCCATACGTAGAGCGATCTGGGCTCCTCTAGGTGGAGGTGTGATTCTTTAGCATGTGTATTAACCTACTTACAAATGAGCATCTGCATGCATTGAAAAGAGATTAGTTTTTTTGTTGTTTTTTTTTGTGATTTGTGGCTTGAGTTGTGTTCATTTCCTGTGTTGTGTGGCTGCAGGGGTCTTTGGGCAGCACCTAGAGGAGACCATGCTGTATGAGGCCCAGTGTGGTCCTCAGCGCCTGGTTCCTGTGCTGGTCGAACAGTGTGTGGGCTTCATACGTGAACATGGGCTCAAGGAGGAGGGCCTTTTCAGGGCCCCTGGACAGACCAATCACGTTCGAGAACTGCAGGATGCCTTTGACCGTGGTGAGAAGCCGGTGTTTGACAGGTGAGGCAACCAGAGGGGACATTTTATCTGCAGCAGCATGCCAAGAAATTATCTGTGTGGGATAGTGTTCTATAATGTGCACCGTCTTTCTCTTACAGTTCCACAGACGTCCACACAGTGGCATCGCTGCTAAAGCTGTACATACGAGAGCTGCCAGAGCCTATAATCCCATTCTCCAAATATACACAGTTCCTCTCTTGTGCTCAGCTACTTACCAAGGATAAAGAAATGGTACCTAAATGTCTGCCAAAGACTTCACTGGCACGTTTTTATAGTCTTGTCTTGGCAACAAGCGTGTCTTTTTTTTTTTTTGTTCAAGGGTATCATAGAGCTGGGCAAACAGGTGAAATCCCTTCCTCAGGTTAACTACAACATCCTTAAATACATTTGCAAGTAAGTAACTATCTTCTAGTAGCTGTTACTGATGTGACTGATGGGTTCCATTGTTGCAGTTTTTATAAACACTGTTTTATAATTGAGGATTTGTCAGCCTGTCAAACCATTCATTACACCCACATCCTCGTCATCAGAGGAAGTGTCAGCGCTGACACCTTGCCTTCTGCATCTATGAAAACATCATAAGCTGAGCCCACACACCAGCCACAATCATGACTCAGTCCTTCTTTTCAATAGTTTTCTATTTACTGAATGAAAAGGGGGATTTCTAACAATTTCAAGTGGAGCATTCAACATCAGTGATTTTACTTATTAGGACGTAATTTCTGCTTTTTGTTTCCGACTGCTTAGGTTTCTGGATGAGGTTCAATCTCACTCCAACGAGAATAAGATGAGTGTTCAGAACCTGGCTACTGTATTCGGACCTAATATCCTTCGGCCCAGAGTGGAGGATCCAGTTACCATGATGGAGGGTTAGAGACTATATCCACATATGTTCATTTGTGACAAAAACTTGCTTACCAGTTATTACCTACAACACTGTGGCATCTTAAGCACTTGTGTGTGTTTGTCATTATAAACAGGAAGCTCACAGGTGCAACACCTGATGACTGTGCTGATCAGTGAACACTCCCGACTTTACCAACGTGAGGAACCAAAAACTGAAACTAAGGTTCCTCCACAGAGACAGGACATCCAGCGGTGCAAAGTGGAATGGGTTTCACAAGACGACACTGACCACCTGCCTTCCTCAGGCACAGGCTCCAAAACCCCGACAGAAACACCCCAATCTTCCACCCCTTCTACAGAAAGTAAGACAGCTGCATCGAGCCCTGTTACATCGGAAAAGGGTGAGGATGTTCGAAGTGAAGGGAAAAGCAAAAGTAAGACGGAGGAGAAGGCAGATGGAAAAGCAGATAGCAAAACTGAAGGGAAAAGTGGAAGTGAAGTGGCTGTTAGTCCGAGTAAACAGTCTAAAGCTTTGCCCTCCTGGAGGTGCTCCTTCAAGGGCACTGCAACCTCCGGAGGACCGAGAGGAAAAATAGGGGGATCGGCAGGGGATGTGTCAGCAGCTGGTGGGAGCAACTGGCTGATGAATGGCCTGTCGTCCCTCCGAGCTCACAGGCGCACCACCTCATCTGGCGAAAGACTGAAAGACTCTACTCTGTCTCTAAAGGATTCAACCCTCTCCCTTAGAGAAACCACTCTTTCCCTCAAAGACTCACAAAGAGACTCTGATGAAGACTCCTCTCGAACGTCCCTGTCTCACAGAGTCCTCCAGTCCCACAGACTGTCTGCCTATGACAATGTTGCCCCCTCTAGTCTAAGTCTGCCTGCGGACACTTCGTCCATCTGGACGTCCTTTGAGATCTCACTGTCTGAGCCCGAGGGAAGCGATAAGGCAGTGAAATTAGAACAGGGCCAAGAGAGGCCCACAGAGGTGAGGGACAGTACAAACACTGTGGATCACAGTGCAAGCGGCAATGAAGAAGATCTCACGGGAGCAAACGAAGATTTCACAGGCATGCTGACCGAGCTCAAGCAGGAGCTGAAGAAACAGAGGACAAGCTATGAAACCTGCATTCGCAAGTAAGAATGAGTTTCTTGTCATTCCTTCTCAAATAATCAATTAAATATCAGCATAAGGTGGTACTTATAATCTGTTCTTCTCTCCTTTGAGGTTGGAAGAGTCCTGTTCCAAGTACCAGTCCCAAGTAAACCGCCTTGAGGAGGAACTGGACCAGGAGAAGAAGAAGTTTCACATGCTAGAGATCCGACTCAGGAACTCAGAGCGGGCGCATCAAGATGCAGAAAATCGAAACATTCTTCTCCAACAAGAGATGGAGGAATTCTTCAAGACCCTTGGGGACCTGACAACAGGTGCAACACGGACCAACTAGACCAGACCAACCTGCCTTCATCTGGTCCATCAGCAGGGGAGGAGCTCTGTTACTGGGAAGACCAACCAGCCCCAAAGCTTTGAAGACCAAATACCTCTAGTGCAGTACTAATTGCCATCTTGCCCTCTTTAGTACAGCTGTCTTGTGCCTACACTGACCAGTGCCGGTGCCAAACGAGAACTCCTCTGGACCAAGCGCCTCTCATTTGTCATTCCATAAAAGTCCTTACTATTATACACCATAGGTCATGTACCCAATTATTTACTGACTAAATTCCTTTGTAAGAAACCAGAAAAAGCCTTATTTATGAGGTAGCCTTCCCATACATGCAATGTTAGTGTACCCTTAGTCTTGAAATAAGTGTTCATTTGACAGTACAAGAAAAAAAAACAATGTGAGACATTAAAAGTCAACTCTTTTATTTGCTGGAGTTGAAGGTAGACAGTTTCCATTTTTGAAGTATATAATTGGTCTGTTAGTGAGGCAATTTCAGTTCCAAAGGCTAAAATTCACGCAACTGGCATTACCAAAACACACCACAAAAGGGTCACTCTCTGCAGACAGTGTTTGGCCAAAAAAAAGACTGCAGCATCATCCCAGTGGTGCTGAATGGCTTTCCTCTCTTTCCCCTAAATGTACCTGCACTAATACCAGATTTGCTCAGAGAAAACTCATGCGTAGTCTATTCTATCTATTTTTGAGGAGGTGGAGGAGGGGAAAACTACAAAAAAAAAAAAAAAAAAAAAAGAAAGCCACAACAGTCCGTTGAGATGTGGCCAAGAGAGGGTCAGGACATGCGTCACAATCCCCAAAGTGCATTCTGGGAGTTGATGCTAGGGGTTACTGCCTGGAGTGCCCAACCATGAAAAGGGCAACGGGACAGTTTGGGAATTTGAGCCATCAAATACATCCAAAGGTTACCATGGCAGGTAGCAAATGCCTGTTTCCTGACTCTCAGAAAACATACATACATCTACAGTAAAATGTACAGATCGACCACTGACTATACTAATCTATGAGTTATACTGCACAGAAAACAAAAAATGAAACAAAATGCATATAAATAGTACTTCTGAATGAAATGTACATTACATACATTAGATGTCTCCTAGCTTGAAATAAATAAATAAATAACAGTACAGAAAAAAAACTAGACCTTTTGTTCGCATTTCTTTCAAATGGTGTGTGCCATGATAAACATACTGTATCTTCAAAAACGTGTGACTGAGTGTGTGCATGTGTGAGGTAGAACTCAGAAAGACACAGCAGAGAGGAGCATCTGCCACAGAGAGGACTGAAAAACCACTGAACTGAGTAAGGGCACTTAAATTAAATATCTTAAATATCAGACAGCTGTGAATAATGTCTGAAACAACCTGCCAAAAAGGATAAAGTGACCAATATAGACTTAAGTCTCTGGTGACTGTCCCCAAAAACAGCACTCATTCTAGCCAGTGGGGTGGCCTATATTCACTTGTTACAGCACTAACAGGAATCATTGGCTCCTTTCTATTCCACATTTCTATTCACTTACATTCACCCTGTTCTTGCTCATCCAACAGACCGTCACCTACAAATTACGTCTAACTAAATAAGTTAAAATACAGTCAGTTTACAGTATGCTATAGTAAAAAAAGAAATCGAGTCAGGGACGCTTGTCAAGATGCGCACAATCAGAGTTGACATAATAGACAAAGAAATACGTTAACTTGGATACTCCAAGGGACACTTTCTACAAGAAAGATGAGGAACAACATCAAAATAAAATCATCCATTTGCATTAGGCTTGAAAATGAAGTGTGCTATCGTCTACTGTTAGACAGAATTGGTGTAGATTCATTCAAATGTCCCAAAAACTATACAAAAAAAATGCCAAATGAACAATTCAAAAATATACTCAAAATGATATTGCAGTGCTAACAGTATGGTATTTGACTTTGTCGATGTAGCTACAAAACAGCAATGTGTAAAGTACACTCGAATCCCTTTCTTTCATGACATACAATCACAGTTTCACATCAAAACATACTCTGATTCTTTGCAGCAAAAATACAGTAATAATGATACAATTTCAAACCACAATCATTTACAGCAGTATAGGTGGAGGGGGAAATAACAAAAAAACTGTACATTGAAAGCGCAGCTCTACAAACTAACATGATGAGTTCCATTGGCCTACACCCATCTCCCATCAGGCACACTGACGAGGAAAGGTTTGTTTTGTTGTGTACATGTGTGTGTGTGTTAGTGAGTACTGTATGTGTACGTTATCTGCAGCAGGCCAGTGCACCCAGAGAGGTATGACTGTCCAAGCTGCTGTCAGTTTCAGAGGTCATGGTGGGGTCACTGCTGGGGTCAGTGGGCTCTGTGGACATGGATGAGACGTCGTTGGCCGAGGAGGAGGAGGACGTGGGCTGAGGAGGGCTGTCGATCACTGCTGCACCTGTGCTGCGAAAAATACACGTCAACGCATAGGTTTCATCGAAAGACACAAGACACTGCCACTCCGTGAGAAGCTTAGAATTCACACGTATCCAGCACCTCAAACTTTAAATTACCAGTCAGCACTGATTTGGTCAAGTCAGACGATATCTTGGTTAAAACTGACCTAAATCTTGCTAAAAATAAATAAATAAATAAAATAGGTTTTTTAAACAAAGGTTTAGAGTTCTTTCAGGATTGAAGCAGTTCAGTTAAACAGGTTCCGGCTGCTAACAGCATTAGGAAAGAGCAAGTATCAACGTCTTTAGCTTGACTTCATCATTCTACTTCCTTTTATTCACTGCATTTATTCTACTGCATTTATGTTGCAAAATTCATCATCGATATGAATCATCTGTGAAACACAAAAGCTTCACTGACTGAAAATACATCTGAAATTAGGAGAACATAGAGGAAACATTTTGAAAATAAAAGGCAATATTTCATGAAAGATAAAAGCTGCAAAATATTGTATGTTATGAATGGACTGGCTAAACTGGATGAGCATGCTTTACTTTTCCCAATTAGTAGATATGCACATCTCTCCTTTGCTTTGTTGCTAATTTGGCAATCTTGAAGTCTTAAACCAGGGTTTCTATGCAATATGGACAACTATGCAACTGGATTTTAGTCATTTCCAAGTCTGGATAAGTATGAAAAATGGAAACGAGAAAACGGAAAAATAATTGCGTTTCTTGATTATTGCTCCTATTCTGCATTCTAAAACATAGAGAGTATATATAGATATGAGAATTTCCAAAAGTAAATTGATCATACGAGTATGCTGTTTTTACTGAAATTTAGAGGAGGCTGCCAGCACAGCCAAAATGTTAACCACTGTGTGAGAAAGCAACACAACAAGTATGGTGTGTGACTGAACGCACACTCCCACACAGTGCCAGCTCTGCTTCTGCACGTCACAGCTTTGCTCCAAATGCTTTATCACTGTACCAAATCTGGATGTCGGCAACCACATTATTTTGAGAAAAAAATTCAACAATATCTTTAAAAGACATACATAAAGAGTAACACAATAAAATAAATATTAGGCTTATCTGAACATTTATGAGTTGTGCACTGATTGGTTATCAGAGGAACAAACAGAGTATCTGTCTTGAATAAGAAACCATAGCTTTATGTTTCCATGGACACAGTGACTATTCAAGGCTGTGCTTTTAAGGTTTTTATTGATTAAAAATTAAAAAAAATATTACTATTACGATTATTATTTTTATTGATACATTACATGCTATAGGAAAAAAATTAATACTTTAGGCGAAGATGTTGTTGCTCTTCATTATTAATGTAGAAGTATAGTAACTTTAACTACAATCCTCTGGCAATAATGACAGCATGCATATTTAGAATTTAACATTTTAAAACCATTGATTCTGCTGTTTGTACCAAAATGTCAAATATGATCTGAAAAATTTACCAAAAGGTCTGGAAATTAGAATCTGGAAAAGTGGGGAATTTGGAAATGATACATATACAGGAGTCCTGTAAAACTGAAATCCTCAAATATTTCATTTAACTTTAAAAATTATTATGGTTTCATTTTTGTGTTATTTCCTCTTCTGAGAAATTAAAGCATTCATGAGATATCCTGAGAAAACGTTTCATCTTTCCTCCCAAAACCTGAGAGAATGGCCATTAAATAAAGTCCTGGTAAAACAAGAGTTGCATCAAAAACTTTTCAACCAAATGTATCCTAGATTTTACTCACATATCCAACTTCTAGCTGTAAAACATCACATTTGTTCGTACAGTGTATTCAGCAAACGTAATGTAAAATAGAACATTAAATTTGTTCCTTGTGAAACTAAACCATGTAAAGACAGTTTCAAGTTTATATCCAGCCTCTAATAAAGCCCCATCATGTGCTTGTGACAAACAAAAACAGCAGTGATTCATTTTTTCCACCTCCTCCTATCACCCAGTTATAATGATCACTCACCTAAGGGAGGTGGCTGCCCTCTTATCACTCCATTCTTCGTCCATTCCTCCCATTCGCTCACTTCCTTATAAATAAGCTCTGCAAATAGATGAGATTAAAATAAATCGACTTTTCTGTACAGTCGAAGTGTGTGTGTATTGCATACTGTACAGTCCAAACAGCATCACGTTTCTAATTTGGACACTCCGTGCTGGTGTGACCCTTCTAAATATGAGTGAGGGGTCATTATCACCTGGCAGGAGTTAGCATGAGCTCATCCTGTTGCACAACTGAAAGTGATATTTACTCACAATCTTAATCTCCTCCCCTGCCTCACAGAATCAGGTTCCCCAGAGTGGAAAACCCGAACTGCGAGGCTTTAAAAGGGAATTTCAAGTCAAGCAACACATCCTCTGGCAGCTACAAGAGACCCAGAGCTCCTCAGGCTCCAGTGACTGTAAGCAACTGATTTCAATTCTACACAATCACTTTCTATCCCACTGGGATACTTCAGATACGGTTTATTTCTGTGTTTCGCCTTAATGGGGCTGCAACTAATGATTATTCCCATTGTTGTTCTATAAAATGTCTTTGTCTACAAAATGTGCGAAAATGGTGAGAAATATCGATCAGTGCTTCCCAAAGGCCAAGATAATTTCTTCAAACCCAAAGATATTCAGCTTAATGTCAGTAAAGAAACAGAAAAACTTTCCAAATCAAGAAGAGGATTTTTTTTTTTTGTTCTTAAGTAGTTGCTGATGAATTAGCTGACAAATAACAGAACAGTTGTTGTTGAGTTGTTAAAGCTGAACCCCTGAACAGAAAACAATCGTGTCACCACAGATCAAATGCTCATCAGAAAATCTGATCATTTCGACTGCACTGTAAACTGATTTGCATGAGATTTAATGCAGCGACTCCAGAGGACACATTTAATAATGACTAGCAATCACATATTAGACGCTCTACTAAATATTCTTGCTGGTTCCGTAGTTAACTTGAAACCAAAACTTCAGCAATCTAAGCTCATTTCTTAACTTATGACAGATGTTTGGAAGTGGTAACACTATCTGGACACCAAACTATGTTTCAGTTTAATACTAAAGAAAGCCTTTCAGCCAATTTTCGGTGAATTTCTGCCTTGCCTCATGAGCCAGGTCAGTAAATAATACACCTAAAGTGAAGTGTGAAGTGTAAAGAAGCTCAGCGTGCTGTCTAACCTTTCCACTCCTCCACGGTGTGCTCCCTTTCATCCAGCTGTCTGTCTGGGATCTTCGGAGGAGGCTGAGAAAGAGAAAATGGCTTAAATGGCACATACAAGAGCGATGCCAACTTTCCACTTCAAGTGATGTAATTAAAATCTCATGTGACACGTTTAAGGATCATGCAGGCCTGTTAGCGATCCACTTACCGCTTCCACTTCAGCTGGATCGTACCAAACATTAATATAGGGGTGCTGCAGGGCCTCATCTACTGAGATGCGCTTGGAAGCATCAATCACTAACATCTTGGATAAGAGATCTCGAGCTTGGCTCGCTGAGGGGAGAAACAACAAGGAGATAAGATGCTATGCTAATCACAAGTCTACGGATGTGGTTTGATAAATTCTAGGTCATGACATGATAAGACAGGAAACAAACACTACCTTTCAGTTTGTTGTGATCAGAGTCGGCAGGAAAGAGCACATCTGGGAAGAGTTTCTCAAAACTGTATCCAGCATAGCGTGGCCTGTTTTCTACGTACGTTCTGACTGACTGGTTTAGCTTCATTAGAAAATCCTGAGATGGAGTGCCTAGTTGCTCAATTACCTTGTTCCACTGGTCGATGTCTGAAGTGTAAATGTTAGGGAAAAAGACGACACACACCTTCACACTATTCACCCCGACACGAATCCTGTAACACACCTTAAGGGCAGCATGACATTTAACTTTCTTTGAGGTTGTCACACACACAAACTGATCTACTTAGGCAGTCTACACACACACACACACACCTCTGTGACATGATCTACGATGATGCAGCCACTCACTCCCTTCCTATGCAGTCAACACATAACTACTGCGCATACTCTCTCAGCAACTACTGCCATTTATTAACTGCTTCTCCTTGAAGTTCTCACAATAGATGCGAGCAGCAGAGCAATGATGGAAGTCATGTATGTCGGGTGGAATAACAGAGTGACAGAGGGGAGCTCTCAGGATGGTGGTGGATCTCTTCACACGAAATGAAGTGATGACACAGCGATCAATCAATGATGGGGAAGGATACGATCAGTGCCAGGGAACAACACACTTCCCCTGATCATCTCGGCCACAATGCAGCCCACTGACCATACATCCACTGGAGGTGGACATTTTGATGACGGGGAGGTGGACATGCAAACAAAATGGTGAAGAGGGGGGAAAAAAGCACAAAAAAACAACAAGTGAAGTGAGAGGAATGTAAACAGAATGGGAATGGATGTAATGGTAAAAATGGAAAACATGCAGCAACAGCCAGGTATGAGAAAGAGAGCATTGTTGAACAGATGAAAACAATAAATGACATGCCGATGAAAATGTAGAGTCTATCAGTGCCAGGAGGCTTTGAGGCTTACACTGAGCTATACAAACAAAAATGGAACAAAACATGGCCTAAAACTACACTAAGAGAAAAATGTGGCTGTCTGCACAGCATGAAGCACAAAGACTGTTGAACTGTGACAAAACATTTAAAAGTCATAAGGATACAGTCCCTTCCTGGGAAGAGGATTTTATGGCGAACCATTTCCGCCAGTATGCAGCCCACAGACCATATGTCCACTAGTGAAGTGGAGCACGATAAACAAAGCCGATACGAAGTGAAGGAAATGCACAAAAGCAGGTTAGTTACAAGTAAGAGGCTAGTTAGTGAGCTTTTTTTTTTTTTTTACAATAAATTCCTATTATGTACAGAAACACCATGCAGCTTACAGAGTGTTAGCAGCAAGGTTTATATTATGTTACATTGAACACAAAAACCTCAGAAAGAAAATAGCTTAACACTGTAGACCGGGTGAGTGGCAGATACAGTACAAAGACAGTCCCTCACCATTGGCTTGGTAGCCCATGCCCAGGATAACCTCTGGCGCCCTGTAGTAGCGCGTAACCACATACGGTGTCATCAGGAGGCCTGTGGCGGCCGTCCGAGCCAAGCCGAAGTCCAAAATCTTCAGCGTGCAATCAGACTTGACTACTATATTGCTAGGCTTGAGGTCCTGCAGAGGAAAACACACGTGAATGTGATTTAATTTTGTCAATATGAAGCAATGACATTGGAGGAAGCATCTTTGAAAAGGCATTCAGAGACAAAATAGACGCCCAGATTACAACATATTGACCGGGTGTCCACTGATAACAGTTCTACATTATCAGTCATGAGTAAAACCCAGCTGATAGTCTGCAGTTTCCACCTCCGTGTTACTCTGCAGTACAGACTTGCTTACTGAAGCGGCATTTTACAATATTGATTTTTTTTTTTCTCCCTCGGAGTTGGCTGCTCCTTTGTGCTAACTAGGGATAATGTTTCTTTGGATATGTAACATTCCTTCAAAAGATCTTGGCTTAATTTGTTTCTCGGTAATTAGCCTTTATCGATCTATTATCAGTAATGAGGTTTATGTGATAATTTTGTTTGCTATGCGATGCACACCTGGCTGCATGTTTCAGATACTGACTGATTTTACACCTGTTTATCCCTGATCCATACAATAAAACGATACCTTCACCAGCTTTGTGGAGGTCAGAAATCTTTTTTCTGCTTGTCTTTCACCAAACTCCTAAAGTTACACATTATATTTTGTATGTGTTTTCTAGAGGCAGTTTGTAGCCAATTAAAAGAGTAAATCCATCGCCTAATATCGTGCCAGTTCACCGTTTGCCCTTACACTTCAGTGTCAAGTAGCTCAGCAGGTTTAACAGGACACTGCCCCTGCATGAGTCTGCGAGACGATGGCCATCTGATGCTCACCCTGTGAATGATGCCGGCGGCATGGAGGTGTTTGATACCACACAACATCTGATAGAGCAGATAGGACAGCCTCTCATGGTCCAGCTCCATCTGAATGACTTGGCACAGGTTGGCATCCATCAGCTCCATCACCAAGTATCTGACGGAGCAGAAACCGTTTCAGAGTCAGTGAAGCAAACAAACAAGAGGGAGTCCAGGTTTAATTACAAATACATACTATAAGTGTATCTCGTTACTTACACATCTTGGAACTCTTCTAATGATTTTTGCGGTGTAAATACATTTAATAGGCCAATGATCTGTGGGTATAAAAATGAACGAATAAAAAGGATGCCATTAACATTCGCACATTAAAGCACAATGTGATTTATATGCACATGTAAGACTGGAAAACACCATTAACCTTCTGCCAGTCTAAAATACCATGTCTCCCACTGGTGAAATGTAATCTATCTGAGAAATTTGCACACTTACATTTTTGTGATTGACACATTTCATTAGGACTAGCTCTCTGTACGCCCTCTTGGCATGGGTTTGATTTTGAAACGGCCGACTCAGCTTCTTGATGGCAACATTTCGCTCAAGGATTTGGTCGTAAGCAGAGCTGAAGAGAAGTACGAGTAAGCAGATAAGTTCACAACATGGTCACAAATGTAACATTAATAGCTATCAGAGACCACAGAAACATTCTGAGAGTATGTGCCTGTGTAGTCAGCAGAAAGGTTTACAATTTACATCTTTAATTCCAGTTTCACCAGCAAGAAAAGGTGACATTCGACATATGTTGTGATGTTCACATGTATTTTCTGGTGGCATATAAGAAACAGTGACCCATATTTCACCAAGAATATAAATGAGGCAGAAACACTCACCAGACGATTCCCTGTGCTCCTGAGCCGATAGGTCTTAGATTCTGGTATCGCTTCAGTACTGTGAACGTCGAATCCCCAACATCTAGGCTGTAGAACTCTCTTTCTCTCTTGTTTTTGTTCATGGTGAAATCTTCAATTACTGCTTTCTGTGCATCCAAAAATGTCCTCTGTGGAGACGGAGACACGTTCAAATATTTTTGCAGAGCCAGAACTACACCGCAGATATCACAATAGCTGCTCAGCAGACTGGCCGACAGAGAGAAGGAAAAAAAAAAGGAGCCAGATGAAAATCCCTGCTTCCGAGAACGCAGATTAGAAGTAAAGGAGAAAAGACAGTGCTGAATTTCACACTTGAGGCGAGCACTGCAGTTCCTTATCTCAGCAACTCAGCAAACACACCAGGATGGAAGAGTTGATATCATCAGTCGTGGTGGCAAAACAGCAGACCACGGGGAGCTCTACTCCATCATATGAAACCCAACTCTCAGAGTGACTCTGTCACACTGCAAAACCAGGCACGGTGATAATTCCTCTGAGTTTGGACCCCGGCCCAGGACTCCAGCTCAGTTCTACAAGCAGGTCCTCCACAGGCACATGTTAACTGGGTCAAGTTGCACCAAGTGACTGTGAGCCCAGATAAGACACAACACAGAGATGCCAATTTGTGGGCATGATGTTCCCCTACGCGTTTCATTTTGCATTAAACAAAAACCACCCAAAATCTAAAAAAGGGCAAAAAATCAAACAGCTTCCTCTCCTTTTATTCACTTCTTATATAAGACAGCGTAATCACCCTCCCCATTCTTACACTCTCCCGACACACAGTCCATATGAGGGATATAATTGCCAGAATGAAATGACTCAGCTCTCCTTCTGTTCCTCCAACGTCACAAAGACGTCCATAACATCCACCTCCCTCACAACATGAAAATAGACATGCCGCTTCCTTTCATATTTCATACAGGAAGAAGACTGCCCTTGTCTGAGTAGTGACGGCTTGAATGACATCGCTGTCAGTGTGTAGTACTCTCTGTGCAGTTATGTGTTGCACATACAGTGAATACCCCAGAGGATGGAGGTCATTATTACATTATTTATTTCTCTTTTGCCTATTAATGCTGCATCAAAAAATTCCTTTCAATCACTTACACACAGTTATGTATCAGCTGCGGTATTTACAAGGAATGCAGCTCACACATTAGTAGTCTCACACAGCACTCAGGAGGTCAGGATTTGGTGGACGGATCTGAAGGCGGGGAGCTGCGATAAGGTGCTCTGAGTTTCCTACAAACGCACAAACACAGCAGGATTTCATTCCTGGAGTGCATTGCCTTCTAATGACCTCACCTTTGTTTTCTCTGGAGAAGCTGCCTCAGCCTAATGAGTTAATGAATGACTTCTGAAGCATATACTTAAAAAGGACAATGAGGCAAGAGAGGACAACATGTGTTATATCAGGAATCACACATTAACACAACAAAAAAGGAAATTATGGAGATTTCTTATCTGTAACATACCATAAAAAAACCTCATTTCCATAGGTGAGGGATCACCTCATGTTCTCCCAGATTAGATACAATCTCAGCCACAGATATTATTATTATTATGGGGTGCGTTATGGATCAGATAGTTTTTTAAATCACACAATATTCTCAGATGTTTGGATCCAAGGTGCCTATTTTCAAGTGCACACACGCATGCTGGCACAGAAACAGAGAAATTGGCCTTGCAACATCTCCAAAGCAGATTAATACAAGCAGAGACTGAGTGAAGGACCACTATCGACCCATTATTCATCCTCCCTCCATAACCTTGGCCACACGACCCCTCGTCTTGTCCTGTCGATGGCACAGGCAGCTGACAGGTAGACCACTGTACAAGCTGGTGCTGCATCACAAATCCTCCCTGCATGCTTTAAAATAAAAAAAAAAGTAGCAGCTTGTGTACGCCGGACATTATCGCGGTGATCATGACACCCATATCGTGATATCGCAGGGCCTGTTGGTGGATCACAGTGCGCAGTCGGTGCTGAAACCAGCTCCTGCCTCAAACTAACGTCCACAACGTTACACCGACGTGGGGGGAAAGAAAAGAAGCATGTCGGTGATAACCGAGGCTACAATGTAACACAACAACCGCCTTCGGGTGAAGCAGCATGCAGGCGGCGACCCTCCCCCACGACCAAACAATAAGCACGTTTGAGGAGCAGAGGTGCGAATCCTCATCTTACCTCCGTCATCAAAACATCAAACTATCGATCTCCCGGCGGTCCGATCGGCGGTGAAACGTCCCGGAGCGGCGGACTATTTGTTTATTCCGCCGCCGAAGAATGATTTATTCCGTTGTGCGGGCTTAAAAATACATGACCTCACCAAATTCATTGCCTACGTTTCCATCTGGCTGCTACTGACAGGCCAGGACGCGCAGTGCGCACGGGGCATGCGTCCCAGCGCAGCGCGTCACTCATCCACAGAGACACACCCACCACCTCCTCCATCCATCCTTTCTCTCTATCTGTCTATCTATAGATGCACAAACTTGGACTGGCCCACTTCCGATTCAAACTCGTTAAATTGCATTTTATTTTCGTGTTCTTTATGCCTGCAGTACGTTTATTGTGAATGCCTGACACTGGCCTCGCCTTGGTGGAAACAAAGAGCCTATATGCTGTATGTAAATCAGTCAGAGAACAGACAAAGATAATGGCCACATTTCTACCCAAATGCGCATTAAACACTGGGTAGGTGCAATCTCCAGTTACCAACAACACCTTGCTTTTTCATACATCTTAAATGTATATACTCCTATACATTCTTGACAAATACAGTAAGGGGAGTGTCAGGATGTATGGTTTAAGGATCACTGGGCACACAGGACAAACAGACATTCACATATTTTTGACTGTAGCTGAAACAAAATGCATTGGATCCCCATTTCCCCAACCTGTCCTTGTTGCAAAATCCTTCATTCACAGAGAGAATGTCCACATAGAGACCATAAAGGAAGACACAGGAGCAGCTTCAAGCCAAATAGTTAAGTATATATGGAATTCATATGTTATAGTGGTCATTCTTTCTTTGTCTGGCCTGCTTGATTACTAGTAGATTTTCTGAATATCTTTGAGATTGCCTAATTGTTACTGTAAACAAAACCAGCTACACAGTACAATACATATATTTTACATCAGACAGCCAGATCTAAGTGATATTAAGCGTATTAGATCTTTTCTTTTTCCCTAAAGGGGGTTCTTACATTACGTTACTGTGAGCACAGGTCTATATTGTAAATAGATAAAATGTTTTTTTTAATCTTACTTAAAGTGTCAGTGTACTTGTGATTTTCAGTGCAGTGTGGTTTTCATAAGGTAAGTTCTTATTTCAAAGTTAGATGCTCTGTCTGTCTCTCCAGTAAACAGTGATGCAGCAGTGCATTACAAAGACTAGTAACAGAGCTGAGGGCTGCTATTTGCATGACTGGAGGAATATTTGGCATCTCCTGTAAGCCCGTAGATCTCGTCCATTATACAATCGGATAATTTGTGGACGATGACATTTCATAGGCTCTGCAGAAACCCACAGCCTAGTAGACAGTGTAAGGGTACCATCTAGAGTTCATCCATCAGCTCATCTACGCTACAACGGCGTCCACGGAGCCATGCTCTGCGAAGGCATGTGACTGAAAGGAGGACATTAGGTAAAATTACGTTAACTTAGCGCTGAGTGCTTTGAATTCTCCCTGCACCCACCTCGCAGCCCTGGATGCTTGTTATTTATCCTTGTCCCTGCGCAGATACCCCGGGGCCTGCAGAGACAAGCTGCGCGCAAAAGACCTGAGCAGCAAACGGAGGCATGGATGAACGTCCCAGCACCGACTCCCGCAGCGAGGTACTACGGTTTCTTACCCCTTGTTCGAAGAGAGCCCGCAGTGTGATGATCATCGTTGGGGAGCAGCCCGACAGCAGCAGGCGACCGTCCACCACCACCACCACCACCGCTTCGGCCGAGATCCTTCGTCCTTCCCAGGCTTCTCTGTAGCGCACCTACCCCGTGGATCCAGCGACCGCACCTTTGGGCGTCAGACGGATTAGTTAAATCGGTGTAGCTGATCTCACGCCACCCGCTATTGGTGGTTCTGACCTGTCGCTGTCAAACCGCGAGGCTAATCCAATCAAGTGTTTAAAGGCGAGAAGCTAAGAATAGCGCCAATTACAGCAAAAAGTTTCAGATCTTCAGCGTGGGGTTGCTGGTAATAGAGCAAATGAATGGGGCACCATGTATAGTTAATGTCATTGATGAATTACCTGCCAGAACCGAGCAGCCTTTACTGCGAGGACATCAAAACAGCAATGCGATGATCACAAGGATTACTTTGGATCCGTGCTGGGAGCACTGAAGATAATACAAAGGATCAGCTCGCTGACACACGCTACGTATGGTACCAGGTAACTCTATCATCTTCGTTTTACTGTGCTGTTTGACAGCTTGCTGAATCCTAACGGATGTCTTCATGTTTTCATCATTTGCTCTTGTTTATCAGCTGGAGATTTGAGATGAAATCTGATTCACTTGCTGGCACTCAGCTGAACATTCACAGGATTGTGGAGATTTACCTTTAAGAATCATAAAAATGCACAATAAAGCTTTCATGTCCAGGCCTGTGAGGGCAAAAAAAAAAAAACAATCTTGGTGAAATTTGCTAGCTGTTAAAGGCTGCTTGTGCTGTAGCTACATAAACTAAACACTCATAGTAGCCTCATACCTTGTTTGTGTCATAAACATGGTGGATTTATTGCCACTTTATAGTCACAAAGGAGGCTGTAAGAGACCTAGATCCTGAAGAATCATGTTGTCCTCAATTCCCCAAAATACATCACAGCTTTACTGTCTGCTCCACATCATGTGCTTGTCTGCTTCGTGGATCAGCAAGAAGGTTTTGTCTAGCAGGAAAATACAAATAGTTGTTGACTGTTTCATTAAATTGTGCATTTTAGTCCAAACATAATGAACAGAGGCACTCATGTGAGCCAAGGAGGAAAGATTGTGTTGCCTATGCAGTAAAATGGACAAGCTATCAGATTATTAGCCACTAGACAGAGTTCGATCTAGACAGCAAAAGACACCGTGCAATCACATTAGACATCTCTGAGATTGAATGGATTTCTGTGTGCTCTATGATTAGCACTCAATCTGCATTTAGAGAATGCAGATTGAGTGCATTTAGAGAATGCAGATGCTGTGACCGAAACTGAAAGTTTGATAGAGAAAGCAGAAGAGGTTAGACTTCCAAATGTAGGCGTCATGTTGTTGCATGTACAAGGCAGCTCCTTCACACTTTTTTAAATCACAGCTCTGCAACAAATGACAGTTTGTTGTGTCTATACTTTGCTTTGGTCCCTGTAGCTCTGCATGTCTTCACTCCAGCAGCTTTACACTAGTAGACAGACCACTTTGAGGGAGCACAGCTGCTAAAGTTTTGCTCAGGACTGGATGGGTGGATGCACCTGGCGGGTTTCCTACTGTACTTTCCTCTTCGATCTCTTCTACATCATAACAACAAACCAATATGTAGGCTACGGTGTATGATTTAATATTTCCTATCAGTGTAATTATGCGATTCAAACCTCACAATCTGAATGGCGCATTTCTTTTTTTTGCAACACTGCAAGTCTTGTAAGCCAAGGATAAGTTCAGTTTGAGAGAGGGATTTAATCAGGCCTGAAGTAATTGGGTTGGTTTGTATCAGTGGGAACAAGCCTATTATACTACTGCTCTGACAGATTGTGAGAGGCACAATACAAATACAAAAACAGAGACACGGTTGTTGGGTTTCACAGCCTTTAGCAGTTGTCAAGAGTCTTCTCTTGGTAACTGTGTGAGAAAGTCAAAACTATTAGCCCCGTGGGGCAAAACAGCATGTCCATTTGTGATCACAGTATTATTCTTATAGTTTTATTTATTATCAATTGGACATATGGGCAAATATTTCTCAGATTTTGTTCAACATCACTGTGCTTCAGTGATTGTTCCCTTGTGAGATAGCTACTAAAAGAAATGATGGCATTTTCAGATACAATCCAACTGGATGTTCATCTAGATAGAAAATAAACATCTGCACAGATTTTCAATAACATACAGTCTTTAAAAAATAGTGAGAACACGATGCACTAATCTCAACCAGATAGACATTCTGTTGTGTGATTGATTCAGTTTGTATGTTTGCACTCAAACTCAAGAAATTTGCCTAATTAAAACTGACTGTCTAAAGGTTAAATGGGTGCAATTTGAGTATCTGACATACATATTGGAGAAAAAAAACAGGATATATAATATGCTCTATAATGCGTAAAATAGATCTTGTTTAGTTGATGCATAGCAAACATTTAGAGAATAGCCAAGGTAAGAAAGCTGTGCATAGTCGCGTTAATACCTGCACACTGTGCAACAACAAACATGGGATCACGACACCTTTGGCGTTAGAATCACAGCTTCCTCGGAAAAGCCCTCAGGTCAGAGGAAAGCCTGTTACTAAATGGGAGGAGCAGAGAAAGCAAGAGGCAGACAAATGGACTACGACAGCCTTATTAGAGTCCAAGCTCCTCAGAATTATCCCTCATACCCATCTCAAAATACTGTTCCCAGGCCGTGACATCTTCTCAAAGAGATCTAGATGAAGGAGAAACGTATAGCTGAGGTGATGAATTCAGATGGCAACAAGTTTGGCACTCAGCAAAGAACAGCTCAATATAAAGTGCACATTGTTTTCATGTGTGGTGAAATGTTAAAGTCACATATATGTCTGATTTGTGTGCAGGAAAATGAACTTCTCTTCATGCCATTTTCATGAATGTAACTTCTAACGAGTGACGCTTTGTGCCCGTGTGTATTTTGAAGTTTGTATGTGTTTCCCATGTGTGACGTCCTCAGGTGCGTGCGTGGAATGTGTGCAGAATGAGCAGCACATTTGTTACATTAGCTGAAGTCTTGGAGGCACGAGGGGGACCTCTGCTGGAGGAGGAGGTCTGGTCCCTGCTGCTGGGCACTGCAGAATCTTTAGTGGATGTCTCTTATAAGGGTAAAGCATTTCAGATCACTGTAGGCTCACATCATGCCTTAATGCTCTCCATGATATTATTGGAATATTACATAAACATTTGAATATACCTTGCAGAAGCACTGTGTCACCTAAACCCACTTTATAGTAAAGCTGTAGCAGCATGTGTATTATGGACTTCCTCTCTCTCTCTCTCTCTTTTTTTTATCAGGTCACAACAATATGTGCAATATCATAAGCCCCACCTCCTTGCTGCTGTCAGCCACTGGTACCTTAGCATTTAAGAACTGTGGCCTATCAGATGAGGTATCCACCTTCGCTGCTCCAGAGATGCTGCAGGGCCGTGCCAGCTCAACTAAACCTGCCACAGAGAGGGTCAGTATCCTCGTACCTGTCCCAGTGCATCACATGACAGCTGATGGCAGAACACTACACAGTGTGAAGTCATTTAGTTTTGCTTTTAATCAGTTACTCTGCAGTGAATTGAGCTGATCACTGCTGTCCTAAATTGATGTCTGTTTTCCTTTGAGTGCTAAATCTCAGGATGAGAGGAGCTGAAGGTCGACTAAGGTGTGACAACACCATCTAGTGGCTGAGCAAAGGAACCACTGCCCTGAAACCTGCACTTCAGGCTCCTAATTGACAAACACAAGCTAAAAAAAACCTCTAAAGTAACTCCTAAAAAAAATATTTGAACGTCAGTTTGCTATGATAGGTATGCACTAGTCTCACAAACAACCTTTAAGTGGCATTTGTTGACATGTGCCGTATATTCTTGATAACAGTATTTCCTGTTTACTGTATATAAGACATACATGGATAGTTCTCTATGTTGAAGAAATTTGCCTTTAAATGAACACCTGATGAATGACAATGCATTTATAGAAATCACAACCATTGCTGCCTATTACTTAAGTGTAGGGCATTTCTAGTCTGTTCATACAGTAATTGACGTAATTGTTATTTATTAAATCATGCTTGAATGATATTTTTCATTAGTTTTTATATACAATCTGTGCAGTTTGCTTTGATCATTAGTCTACTGTGTCAGTTTCATCCCAGTTTGTTAGATGTCTTATTCATAATTCTCCTGTCAGTATATTTCCACACTTTAAACCCACAGCCTCATACATTACCTTAAAATGACTACACACATAGCTCATATTATTTCTGCTCATGCTGTAACAATAATGATATTGTTGATGCTCAGCTCAAGGTTGAATATAATTTATTGTTTGGAAAGCATCAACCCACTGTTTAGCTCAAGTTATTCGTGCATGAAAAAGTACCCCTGATTTTGTTTTAGAGTTTGTTGGTAATGTTTCATTAAAACAACACATCCTGTCTGTCTTGTCCTTAACCAGATGCTGGTGTATTCACTGGGTATGACTCTCTACTGGTCAGTTGATTTTCGCCTACCTCAAAATCAGGTAGGCGCCGCCGACACATGGCTGTAATTGCTTTCCTCAGTACCAGCATAGTCCCACATCTCGGTGATAATAATTATTTTCCGCTCTGGTCCTCAGCCAGTCCAGTTGAGTGACCATCTAAACAGCCTCCTCCTCAGCATGTGCGAGGACCTGGCCCACCGCAGGGTAAATCTCAACTCCATCCTGGAAGCCTGCGAATCTCAGCTCAAAGCCTCCATCTTGCTGCCCCCCGCCAAAGTCATCAGACAGCTGGTGGAGGAGGTTTTTCATGAATCAGTGAGTCCAGATACATACAGTATGTTCCTGTCTGCTGGCATTTCAGCTTCTCTGTATGTGTTGGAAATGTGTTGGTTTATTTTTCACATCAGATGGACCAGGGCTCCCTGCCAGACAGCAACGTCCCTTTGAGTGGCAGGAGCCAGATGATCAGAGAGAGGCTTCATGGTGAGTATGCATGTTAGAGTCCTGATAAACTTTTATTTAATGCTTTTTACTGCAAGAAACAGCCAATAAAAGAGGAGAAAGCTGAGTCAAAATCTTGCATATATATTTTTCTTTCTATGCCTTGCAACAAAAAGACAGAGGGCGGGGAATACATTCAGAATTATTTCTCATTTCTGAGTCTGAGGATTTTGGAACCTAATAAAATTAACCTGACATATATATTTTTGCTCAGACGTTTCCTATCAGGCTTCTCTTCATTTTGACACAACATATGCAGTTTATCCAAGTTATCATCTACATGTTTACAAAAAGTAGATACTGTCATCATTCTTTTGACTTAAGACAGAATACAGGTCAACAGGATTAAAATCTTAACCTAAAGCAAGCCCAGGATTAGGCTTCTGTGAGAGCCAATAATCAGATACTGAATGTGAATGCCCCAGGCTAAACCCTCCACCCGACTCAGCTTTGTCCAAACATCAGCGTCTCCGGGGGAAACCGAGACAGACAGGAATCAAACATTGCTGTCATCTTCCATCTCTTACCTGGTTGACAGGAAAGCGAGGGCCATTTTCAGACTTGAGCGAAGGAAGTGCTGAAGGGAGGAGATACTCAACGGACTCGGATTCAAAGTCAGGTACGCAAATGATGCAGAGGATGCCACAACTGCAAAAAAGACACAAGATGATGTAAAGAAAAAATTTAAATTACTTTTGAAATAATTTGTCATGTGCATCCACCTGGTGAAACTTTGTCATCAATTTTGTTGAATGTATTTTGCAGTGGAAGTGCATATTGTATTTCTCTTTCATAGGGAGTTTACCTCAAAGACCTTGGAGACAAAGACCGAGGAGCTCTCCTACGCCGCTGTACCAGTCTTCTCTGGACAGGCATGTATTATATGCATAGGTGCACACTGATAGAAGTGTAGAAGAAGGACATTCTCCAGTACTCATGTGCCATATGTGCATGCATGTCAACATAAATAAATCTGCCCACTCCTCATTTTTACCTCCCGTATTGTCCGTACTGACTTTGAGGGGACATGACATTGTCTCATTGTTTGACTTTTCCAACTTGTCTGCACAACTATTACACAATCCGTCCTCCCCCACCCACACCCGCTCTCTCTCTCTCTCTCTCTCTCCTCAGACTCCCTCGTGGGGTTCGTCACAGGGACAGCAACTGCAGTTGGCTTGGTAGGAGCCCCCACCATGACATCTCTCCCAAGACATCGGGCAGATCTCACAGTCCTTCCATCACCTTTAGTGAGTCCTCGCTCAGCCTGAGCCAGAGAAAAGCAAAGGTAGGATCATTTTATCTGTCATCAGTGACATAAATGCAAGGGAAGTGTTTTTGCAGAACATAAAGGAGAAGTGCATGCTCTGTGTGGGAATCTGTGCATGAAATAGAGTCTCCATGTCTTCACAGGAATGCTTATCTTTTTGAGAATCATGTGGAGTGTTTAGTGCATGTGAAATTGAACTCTAAGAGCAGACATTTAGAGAAAATCTACCACATGTGTTGCTGCTTAAACTGTTTCTAAATGCTTTTTTTTCAGGCATTGGGTCCTGAATTCGTCAGAATGCCGGACGAGCAACACATTGTTCTTGAGCTTCCAGGATCTATTGTGGTAAATCAATACTTTCTGGTCACCTCCTGATCAATATCTATGTAAATTTCCGTTGTTGTCACATTCTTTTCCTTTCTTGCATGCCGAACTATGTCTATTTGCACAATCGCATGTACAGTATTTTTTATATTTATGTACGTGAGTGTGTCTGTAGGTTTTTCTTTTATGTCCTTGTGTGTCTGTGTGTTTGTGTGTGTGCACCACAGTCCAGAAAGGGCCGTTCATGTTCGTCTCAGAGAGAAGTGACTGTAGTGCTGCCTAACGGACAGTACGTGGTGGTTCGCTGTGACATTAAGTCCAGAGCAAGAGATGTGTTTGACATGGTGGTGGCTCACGCAAACTTGGTGGAACACTTTTACTTTGGTCTTGCCTTCCTAGATGGTAAGCGGACATATTATATATGGGACCTAATCTGTCTTGACTGCAGTTGTTGTACAAAAAAAAAAAAATTCAAAACACACAATTCATTTCAAAACATCCATAGTTCAACTTGTGATATCATTCCATCACAATTGGCTTGATGGCTGAACTTGTGATAATACAAAATTTTTGTCTGAATGTTTATTCAAACAAAAACCTTGAAATGAAGTTGAATTTACACCTCTGTGCATGTTTTGTTGTTTTAGTCACTTCAGTGGTCTGTGGCTAAAGAGGCTTTTCTTTGACATTCTGCAGATGATGAATATTTCTTTTTGGATCACGAAACAAAAATCTCCAAAGTTGCGCCTGACAGTTGGAAAAAAGGGCAGATACTCTCCTTTTTGGTGTTTCTTCGAGTCAAATTTTTTGTTGACGATATCTCCTTCGTTCTGTAAGTGCAGCCGTGGTCTGATGATTTATCCATATGCAGGAAGCTCATCTGTAGAAATGGATAGATGAGAAACACTGATGCTTTTTTGTTAACCATTTTTTCCCCTGCTTCCTAGGCACAGACTGACTCGTCACCAGTACTACTTACAGCTACGTAAGGATATTATGGAGGACAGACTTTACTGTAATGAGGAGACAGGCTTGTTCTTGGCTGCTCTGGCTCTGCAGGCAGAGTTTGGTGATTACATGCCAGAGGTACAGTAGAGTGAAAGAAAACTATTTGTATCATGCCTTTAAATCTAAGCATTCACTGTCAGTGTGTGTCACAGCAGCGCATTTGGTTCTTTTTTTTGTCTTCTCAGTTATATGGGAAGAATTATTACCAGCCAGAGCACTATGTGTCCAAGAGGATGCTGGAGAAGCTAGCCCTGCCCAGTGTCAAGGAGGAGTTGCCAAGACTACATGCAAGTCACGCCCAGATGCTGCCAGAAGAGGCAGAAACAGAATACCTAAAGGTAGCCAGACTACTAATGCATCCACTCCCACACAAAAACACAGACTCAGTTATCCAGCAGCTCGCATTGTTCTTTGGCTCTGTATTTGTTTTCACCTTGCAATATGCTAAAATAATAAGGCACTGTGAATTGTTGTCACTACTATTTGCTTTAAATTTAATCATACTTCTACTGTTGTACTTTCTGCAAGTCTAAATAAGTGTTAACATAAATTGCTGCAATATAAAATTTAATGCATATGCCCTCTCGCGCAAACACCGTCACAATTTTATGGGATGACACTACAGGTGAATAGGGTAAATATGTAATTTTTAAACATGCAAATGAGGTATTATATATCTAAAAATGCCAGAATTTGCATTCATTTCCTGAACAGAAATCTGAAAATTAGATAAAGCCAGCTTCAAAGTTTTGTTTCATCTTGTTGACACATTAGAGCCACAGAGGGGATTTTGGATGTCTTTTTTTTTTTTTTTTATCACTCCATAAATCATAAAATAGAGCCAGAAAAAAAATCAATTTCCACCATGATATTGGGAATAAAATGCTCTATAAATCAGGCTGGGAATGATATATATACAGACTGCTCTGTCAAAACCTCCTTGATATAGGTAGGAATTAAACTGAAATGTTTGACGTATCTAAGGGATACTGAAGTGGAGATTTCTGGCTCAGAGTATAAGAAAAAAAAACAAAAAAACACAGAGTACAGTAACATAAACACCCGAAAGAGAACACGTTATGGAAGCAAAATATCCTTATCCTTACATTTCTAAATTTAGGTTTAGAAACAATGTTTTGTCTACATCTCAGATTGCCCAGCAGCTACCGGAGTATGGGGTTATGTTCCACCGTGTGGGGAGAGAGAAGAGGCCGGTGGTGGGAGAGTTGGTTTTAGGAGTCTGTGCCAAAGGAATCATCGTGTATGAGATGAAGAACCACCTTCGTACTGTCACTAGACGCTTCCTCTGGAGGGAAACTGACTCCATATCCACTGGGGTAAAAATAAATGGCATTTCAGTCAGATTGTGCAATGCGGTATGAGATATTGCTCTGTGCAGCTCATATTATTACGAAGCCCAGAGTAAATATATAATGACTTGTGCCTGTCTTTCAGCGGCGGAAGCTGATTATTGAGTGCGGTGGGCCCAGCGGGAAAAAGCACAGTTTTGTCACGGAAAGCTCAAAAATAGCACAGTACCTCCTGAACCTCTGCTCTGCACAGCACAAGTTTCATAGTGAGATGACGTCAAGACAGCTGAACCACACCATGATACCAGGTGGGAGAGTTTTAGTGATGGTGTAGAGTGTATTGTTTTGGACTTTAACAATACTTACACATATAAAAATATCTGACAAACTCCTGATTCTCCTCTATTTCTTCAGATGAACACATGGATAAGTACATGTCTGCTTACCGCAATCGTAACTTGAGCCTGAAGCGGATATCCTGTTCGGAGAGCATGTTGAACCATGTAGGTCTGACACCCGGACACCCGGACTCCCTCTCCAAGTCCTGTGACGACCTGACTGCCAAGCTGGAGGCTCGGCTCCGGCAGCAGAGGGAGATGAGGAGGGAGATGAGCAGGGAGCTTAACAGGGAGCTGAATGAAACAGGAGACTTCAGGGATGGAGGGAAAGAGCGACAGTGCTGGAGGTAGCCACTGATGATGATAAGATTCATCTTGTAATCACTGTAAACTTGTTTTGACTTGGATAAACATAACTGTGCACTTGTGTTGTAGCACTCCAGAGCCGATTCCCAGAATGATGTCCAGCGTCTCATTACAGAAGCAGGATTCTGACGCCTCATCCTCCATACGAGGTGAATATGTCAACTTTATAAACTCAGTTCTTTCTTGCAAACACCTGCAGATGGGTGTCAAATCAAAGGGAAAAACAAACATCAGGTGGTTGAGTAAAGTGAACAGTCACCATTTTCCTCCTCAGCAGCTTTAATCCTCCTTGGTATGGAAGTTACTCACATTTTCATACTCAAACCTGTCTGGGTACCCTTCACTCCCATACGGAATAATCTGTATTTGAATTTTTTTCATTTGTGACCCATCTATATGTTTGGATTGGGTTTGCACTGTGGTTCACTGGTTTACACGCTTCCCTTGCAAATACAGTTGTCCTTATTTTGACCACCATCCCACCTACAGAGACTTTTCTATGTTGAGTCTTGAGAATTGGGTTGAATATCCCAGTCCAAATACATGTGATATATATATATATAAATTTACAGTGACCATTTTATTATATGTAAAACATGTGCTTTGCAGTTGATACACCAACACGGACGCCACCCGAGAGAGAGATAGTCTGCGTGAACCTGAAGAAAGATTCCAAACTGGGCTTTGGTGAGTTTATTAAGGTGGACTTAGCTGTTAACTTGATGTATAATTAATGAGCAGAGTGCCACCTATCTGATTCTTTAGCAGGAGACTTTTGTCTTCACATCCTCTCTGGTCCTGTTTCAGGCTTTGTGATAGTGGGAGAGGACAATACAGGTAAACTTGACCTTGGGATCTTCATTGCTTCCATTGTGCCTGATGGGCCTGCGGACAAAGATGGACGAATCAAACCGGGTATGAAGCACCAACAATGGAACCTGGAAACAGACAGTTTAACGTACAACATGACATTGCTAGAGGGAGAGACGAATTGAGACTGCACATGATAACCTAATCAAGGATTTGTTGACGATTTATTGATTTTACCAGGTGGACGCCTCATTTCCCTGAACAAGACCAGTCTGGAAGGAGTGACATTCAGTGATGCTGCTGCCATCCTGCAGAGCAGCCCTGAAGAGGTCGAGCTCATCGTGTCGCAGCCTAAACGTAAGATCTGCTCAATGCTTCTTCCCCTGCATGCACAGTCTGAGAAGTGCAATCCTGCAAATATTCGTAAATCATTGTCAGACCATTACTATGTTTAAAAGTGACTTTTAATAGAATGTATGTGTGTCTGGAGGTCTTTAATCCCATCTGGCTGTTTTCCAATCAGAATCTCTGAAGGACAGAAACAGTTCCTTGAGTCAAAGTACTCTCGGTTTGGCGTTGGAGAGGAGCTTTGGGTCACAGACCACCCTGAGTGGCAACGAGTATCGTCCCGCTGTGGAGGAGCTGGAGGAAGCCATCACACTGTCCAGCATGGCAACCCCGAAACAGAGCAGGAAGCTTCACATTCCTGTTGTGCGAATACATGACGCCCAGGTGAGAGCTACATGGCAACGGTTACAGATACGTGACTTTATTTCCATGGAAGCAATGTTGTCAAAGTTGGTGAAAGAGTTTAACCGGCGCATACTGATCATAGATGAGATGTTGTCATCTACAGCGTAAGAAGTGTCCTGAAAATACACCTTTATACATTTACTCCTCTCTGATTATGCAAATCTACCTTCACCTGTTTTTTGCTAGAAACTTGAAATCATAGCCTGAAAGTAATTGTGCCATTATTTATTGTTATTTAGTGGTTATTCGTAGAGGTGTCACTAAATGACTTGGTGAGTGTGCTACATTCAGGTAATGAAGACAAAAGTTTCATGTTTCAGAAAAACTTAAAGTTAATTTCTCTGCAAGTATAAAATAGTGGTTACAATTCTATTTTCACTATGCAAGTCTTAATATTGACATTAAATTATTTATAATACCATTTATTAAGAAATGTAGCTACATTTATAAGAAAAAAAACAAACTTTGGGTCATTGCAGTGTTTTGCAAAGTTATTGTTTTTAAATTGTGTAGTCACAATATAAAAGGTTTCTTGTTTTCAATGATATTTTACATTATACTGGGGGGAATAAAAAATAGTGTGCTTTTATAGCTATGAATCTAAAATACATTATTTAGTTAAAATAATAAAACATAATTTTCCCATTTTAAGTTCATTAAGTGTTCTAAAGTTTTTTTTGTTGTTGCTGTTGTTAAGTTTAAGTTGTCTGGAACTTTGTTTAATCATTCAATATGTATTGTATCAGTGGTAAAATGGGTGTACTTTCCTTCTAAACACAAATAACTTCTCTTCGAGCATTTTCTGGGTTACCCATATATATATAATATTTATGCAATAACTTACAGGTTGCAATCTAAGACGTTTCTCTTCTTCAGGATGCTTGTTCTAGGTCACCCTCTGTCTTAAGCCTTAAAGCAGCGGAGCAGTTTATTGTGGAGCTGAAAAAAAGTGGTGGCAGTCTGGGTATCAGTGTTGCTGTGAGTGACTTTCTTTTCCCCTGTATTTGCATGTTCTCTGACTTTAAAGAAGCATAGATTTTATTTTCTTTACTCAGTGCTGTCATTAAATCATTTCAAATGGTGCAATCGTAGAAGTGCAACTGTGTCTAAGTAGAAAGTCTTGTGCTTTACGCCCCGTTAAATCCAAGTAAGTCGTGTCAAAACCTTAGTGACCTCATTGCCGTATTGTCAGCCAAACCGATTTACAGGACTTAATGGGAAAGGTCAATATGTAACAAGCTACTCTACATCGTAACTAGGATCCCGACACGCTGACTCAGTGTGAGTTGTTTTGGTTACTTGAGGAAGGTGACATTGATGAATGTTTTTTTTTTGTTTTTTTTTGCAATCTCTCTTGCCAAAAGGGAGGAATTAACACTAACGTGCGATATGGAGGCATTTACATCAAGAGTCTGGTGCCTGGAGGGGCTGCTGAGCAGGACAGACGCATTCAGACTGGTAATCTTTTTGGTTGTTGTTGCAAGATCATGTAGCTGCCAAAAACACAAAATATTATGCAAAGGTTTGATTTTGTGGAGGGTGTTTATTCAGCTTCTGAGTAAGTAGGACAAATACTAGCAAATTCCACAGTTTATTTTCAATTACTCATTTGTGAGGTTTTTGTTAGTTTGAAGGACAGTCCGATTAACTTAGCATCAGTATTTTTTTAAAAATTAAAATGATATGATGAAAATTCTCTAAAATATGTGCCACATTCATTACAAACCTCACACAAATGTGCAACATTCTTCTACCTCCTTTTACAAAACATTAAATAATTGACTGTGGAAAGAAGAGTCTTACTCAGGCCTCTAATATGAAAAATGTAAAACCTGAAAATGATGTGAAAAGCTGTTTTTGAGTTGCTATATGATACAATGTTAGAATTGTTGTTCGTATTAGTGTTATTATTTTGTCAGTTGCTTGTATACGAGTGTGCCACTGGTGCCACTGTGCTGTGTCTGTTTCTGCTTCGTTTCTGCTTCAGTGAACAGGAACAACTTAGATTTGTTGACATGCCCGTCAACCGCACACACACACACACGCACACACACGTACACGCATATACATGTACACATACGCATGTACACTCGCACAAACCGTTTACGTATTGATGTTGCTAATGATGATGAGATTTGCGTTTGTGCATATGACAGGTGACAGACTGCTGGAGGTTGATGGGTCCAACCTGAGGGGCGTGACTCACCAACAAGCTGTCGAGTGCCTGAAGAGGACTGGGGAGGTATACATACAGACATGCTCACACACGGAGGCACACATGCAGTAAAACACAATTACACACACGCAAATAAACAACTGAGATATGAAAACCATAAGAAAAAAAAAAACAGTACAAAGAGATAATGGCTTTAAAGAAGTATAATAACAGGGATTTTTATTTTTTATTTTTTTACCAGATTCAAGGTTTCAAGTCCTATTTCCTGACATTAGTAAATGCTGATCTTCTTGATGCATGTTGACAACTCTTGCTTAACCCTGCTGAAGTAGTTTCAGTCACCTATGCTTGGTTATATCATAAAACAAAACTGAACCATCAAGGGGTGAGAGACTAAACAACCTAAATATGTCATCATTTACCTATGAGGACTTGCTGAACCTTTAAGACCTTTCCACCTTATCTCCAGTAATCTAGAAAAGCTTTCATAATTAACTTTATCAAGAGCTGATTATAGGTATTCACTGTGATCCTGCACCAACTCCAATGTGTATGTTATTAAACATATACACGTGATGCATGTGTGTCCATCTGTTCCTCATAGGTGGTGAACCTGCTGTTGGAGAGGGAGCCCACGGTAATCTTGGAGCCCAAGTCCGATTCTCCCTTGGTCCACAGTACATCACACACACAGCCCCCCAGGACTGAGGTCTCCATGGAAACGACCTTGAGTGGTCGAGCCAAGGACTACAGCTTTGTAACTGATGGTGAGAGGGGAGAGGAAGGGGCGTTTACTCTCACAAAAAAAAAAAAAGGCACACAAACACACACACACACTCTTGCACACATGGCCCAGAGGTGACTGTGAGTCATCTGACAGCTACATTGTGGTTGCTGTCAGAGTCATCCAGGGTTGATGCTGCCTCAGTCCCCTGAGACTGCATGCACTGAAACCTTGAAGCTGCCTGTTCAGCGGCTGAGCTGAGCTAAAAGGACAGTTCCTCATCTGCACAAAGCCTCCCTTTCTTTACTGTAAATGTAAGAGAAAAAGCAATAAAAGGGGATTGTCATTTGTGATATTGCAAGACTTCCTCTAGGAAGATTTGATCACAATATACAAAATTGCTTTGCAGATTAAAGATTACACAACATGCATTAATGCTCCAAGATTTGCCTCCATCCCATCTTTTTCCTAGAAAACACACATGAAGTGGTCCTGAAGAAGAGTTTGTCTGGCCTCGGCTTCAGCTTTTACATCTCACATCTGCACTCGGGGCCAGACAGAGGCAGCGTGGTTCGCATCAAACGTCTGTTCCCGGGTCAGCCGGCACAAGAGAGTGGCCTGCTGCGAGAGGGAGATGTGATTCTGGCTGTCAACAAAGAGCCTGTGAAGGATCTCTCCTACCAGGTAGGGTTTTTAATTTCAAAAATAGTGTTTGGTTTGATTTTTTATTTTTTTCAATTGATGTGGGAATATAAACGTGGGTGTAGTTTGCTAATAAAGTATATAAACCTGTGCACTAATGGCAGCACATGAGGTCAGTTCGTCCCTGGTTAAATACTTGTGAATGGGCTGCTGAGTGTATGAGCAACACCAGTGGCCCTGCTCTTTCTTAAGAACTTGGACGCGTCATTGGTTTACTAATCCTTTAAGCTCACGGTACCAAAAATAGCAAGCCGGTTGTGTCATAGTGTCTGTGTCATTTAATCTTTTATGTACTGCCAAGGAGTTTTAATTGTATTAACGCAGGTGGATTTAAACAGAAAACAATCAGATAGATGTGCACATTTTGAGAAAAGCTAGGTTCAGGCCAAACTTTGTTGCTGACTCACTCCTTTCCGTTTTGTCTCAGAGGGTTTTGTTTCTGCTACGTGGAGCTCCATCTGAAGTTCATCTGTTGATCTGTCGACCGGGTCCCGGAGTGCTGTATGATGCAGATAATAACACGCTGGTGAGCTAATGTCTATATAAATCACCGTACAGTCAGTGATCCAGACAGACTTCCTCACTTTCTGTCTGACTCTGCAGAGTCCTGCACTGTTCCGTGAGGTTCGATCTCGGTCACTGGACATCCGACTGGGAGAGGACTACAGCCAGCTCCTTAAGTTTCAATATGATGACAACATACGCATCCTGAAGCAGCCCCACAACCTGGAGGAAGATCTGACCAACACAACAGGGAAAAGCTCAGAACCTCCTGCAGCTTCCCCATTCCCAGAAAACCAAGAGAGTCAGGAAGGTAAAGCGCAGACCAACCAGGCTCCTCCGTCTCCTCCTCGCTCACCCCCCTCACCCACGTCGCCTCCATCTCCTCCGTCACCGGTCTCGCCAGCCTCACCTGCCTCGCCCGCATCACCCGCATCGCCCGCTTCGCCTGCATCACCTGTGTCCGGCTCTCCACCAGCAACAACAGAGCCACAACCAGCTGCTGGGATACCAGAGGAACTAAAAGAAGCAGAAGCAAAAAAGCAGAACAAGGACAGAGAAGAGGAGGTGGCAACGACATCAAGCTCAACTGTGATGCTTATGGATGTCTGTCCTAAGACTGCTTCAAGCTCTGTATATGCCAGGTAATGTACCAGATGTAGAAAACTATGATATATTACTACATTACTCAATCATTGACATCAATTATTCCTCTCTTACAGCTGGGAGTGTCAAATAACAAAGTTTGAGTGTTTCACAGAAAAAAGAGCCAATAAATGTTGTAGCCATCTCTGCAACATGCAAGTGCATCATGGTTTCAGAACTGCTTTAACAAGAGAAAAGAATAGCAAAATGTGTATGAAAACTTCCTCAACTACTGCATGATTATCTGAGTCTCTCAAATTCAGCTTTGTGTTTAGTAGCACATCAGCACTGCTTCACTAGTACCACAGCTCTGGAACAGAGTCCTGCTTGATCATAGAGTTTTATAGTGTGCCATCAAATTATTCAGTGTAACAAATAAATACATTTAAAAGTACTTATAAATGGATGTAGATTTATACAAACATGTGTGCTGCTCATTCATCAGGACACTTTAATTTTATGGTTAGACATTTTAAAAGTTTGGGTAAGGTATTATTTTCAGTGCAATATCTACAATATGATGTGTTTTTTTTAATCCGCAGTGGGGTCAGAGAGGAGGCAGATGGCAGTGTGACCTACTGCCTCATGGGAAACGGACTGACCATCGTGGCAGATGAAGAGTACCTGACTATCAGCTCCACACTGGAGCCTCCTCATAATCTTCCCACCAACAACACTCCAACAAGCAACCTCACAGCACAAGGCTCTCAAACCCCCAGCAGCTTTCAGAATCCAAACGTCAGCTCTCACGTCTCCACTCCCACCGTCTTGCCCCTCAACCTCTCGTCTGACAGCCCAACCACTTGCTCCCTGGCCCACCCGTCTCAGCCGCTCACCACTCAGCCCCCGAAAACCAAGCACCACCCCATCCAGCAGGGGCTTCTTCCGAGCCACTACAAAGCCATGTCCAAGAAAGTCCGACCTCTGGTGCCTCCTCCTCAGCCTCCACCGCTGACCCCCATCACAGCTCAGATAATCTCCTCTGTGCCTCCCTGTACCAGCCCACCTGCCCTGACGCTGCCCCCCACAGTGCTGCCCACTCCTGCCCAGGTCCACACACAGCTCAGAGAAGAGCCGGAGAAGAAAGAAAAGGAATACAAGGATGATGATGATGACGTGGATGAAGAGGAGGAAGAGAGTCGAAGAAAGGTAAGTCAGTTCCTGTTTTAGCCTCACTTTTTCAGCTTTGCTTAGAAAGACATTATCATTAGTGTGTGTTCGCAGCAGGTTTACTCATTTATAACATGATTATTGAAAACATTGTCAAGAAGTTGGGCGAATGTTTTGGCTTTGTGTCGAGGAAACTGTGATTAGATGATGTTGCTTTAAAGTGATAATACCACAGATTGAGATCAATGTCAAATCAAAGGGGTACAGTATGTTCTGCAAAGTCAAAATATTATGTGAAAGATACAATGAAAGTTTCAGTTTTCATTTACAAGTCATTTAATGTGCATGTATTTTTAATACTGATGTCTCCATGTATTTGAATTCACATCCGAACTGTTCTTCTTCTCACTCCCCAACTTACTGTATAAAACTATACAACACAGTTATTCTACACAGGTTGCTTAGGAATTAAAATTGTTATCACTGTGGTTTAAGTTTGAAAATTAAGTGATGTAAAATTGATGTAATGGTATTTTTTTTGTATTAATTCATATCAGTTTGTATAGTTTTTGCACCTTTGAGCCAGACAAATTTCCATTGTTTCTTGTCTGACAGGGACAAGTAAAAGAGTTTGAGCTGACAGTAGTTATGACCAAGTCCAGGAGCGGAAGCTTTGGGTTTACCATCACTCGAAGCAAACTCGACAACTGCTACTACATACAGGAAATATTGGACAACCCAGCGAAGGCAGATGGACGACTCAGGGCAGGAGACAGACTCATCACTGTAAGCGCCAACACTCACGCCTGAACATTTAAAAACAGTCTTGCTTTGTGTGGACTTTATTTTCTATCATTATCTTCCAGGTAAACGGGCATGATGTTACCAGTGTGGCAGATGATGTTGCCATGACGATTCTTAGGTCATCTCCAAGAAGACTGAGTATGACACTGGGCAGGGCAGTTAGTAACCTGGTGGCTCCACCTCCCTGTGACAGTCTGCCTGATATCGTTCTCTACAAGACACCTTCAGGACAACTAGGTGGGACATATTTTCACACATTTCATCGACACAACAGTCACACAACAGTCAGTAGTATTTGAAAGTATCTGTGTGTGTGTGTCCTCTGCAGGAATAAAGCTGACGGGTGGCATTGGCAGCAAATGGCAGGGCATCTACTGTCTGGAGGTGGTGCCAGGCTCCCCGGCCAGCGAGGAGGGCAGCGTCCAACCCAATGATAAGATCCTGTACATCAGTGGCAGATGCACCCTGGGAATGACCCTGGAGGATGCAGTCAAAGCCTGCGAGATCGCCCCTCGTAAAGTGAAGCTTAAAATCATCAGGTATCAAAGACTTAGAGAGATAGATGCTGAAATTGGTGTTTAGGTGTTTGTTTTTGTGATTGACTCTACTGTTTGTGTTTGCCACAGAGAAGAGCAGCCGGTGACCCCCAAGGCTAAGTGGAACGGTAAGAGCTTCTGAAGGATTTATGATGTGGTTTCACCTGCTTGAGTAAATCCAAGGACCCATAGGCAGCATAGTTTGGTTGTTGTGCACTATATGCACTGATGGCTTGCCTAGAAACCAGATATGCTTGTGTTCAACAAAACAATGATGATTTTGGTTCAATCATTACCAGAATACATTAAAGTGAGACAAGGAAAATACTTGTCTCTGCATTTTTGTAAAGCAGAGGAATCATTTCCTTGTGCAGTCTATGATTTCTAAAGTGTTTCTTTAATAGGGCTGTTTGACTGGAAAAAAGACAGAAAGTTCTTTGCACGTTTTGAGGAGCCAGTCTCTCCAGAGAAAGAATCTCCCACTGAAGATGGTGAGTTTTTTTCTTTTTCATCTTTTTTTCCTCTGCCTATCTCTTCTGAGCCCTCTCCATCGGCATGTTCTATCAGCAGCCATAACTGGTTCCCTTTCGCCCTTTTCCTTGTTGTCCCATTGTGTGTGTGAAGCCGGAGCTCGGTGCTGACAGATAGTTCTCTTTGCAGCTGTGTGTGTGTGTGTGTGGGTGTGTGTGATCTGAATGCTGACAGACAGATCCTGGGCTCTCACAGCAGGATTAATAATTAGCAAGCCTCTGGCCCTCCACTGGTGTATTGGACTGCAAGGCCAGAAGCATCACGTACACGCACACACACGGTCGCAGCCATACAGACAGTGGTCTATAGGACAGGTAGTTCAGTTGCCTGGTGACAGTACGTGCAGCGGTAAGGGACGGTGGAGAGGGTCAGTCTGAAAAGATCAGCCTTGTTCACCTGTCATAGAAGATACGCACCCATCAACACTTCTCTTTCAAAATGGCCGAAGAGGTGGGAGGTTGGTGTGTGTAGTTCTTTTTTTCCCCGTGTGTCTGTTTTGTAAATTTCATTGGCTGAAATGGTCGCATGGATGAGAATTAGCACAGAGAGGAAGTTCCACTGTTAGCTTATGGCAAGACGCCGCCACTTATTTAGCTTTAAGTGGCTCGACTAATATTTTTTGAAAACACTGAGTGCAATCACTGGATTTTTTTTTGGCTGCTGCTTCATTAATAACTCTTCTTTTTTCAGTTGAAGCTGTGTGTAGAACTGCTGGAAAATTCAGATGTCTCTCACTCACCCAAGAACAGGATGTAAGTTTCTGAACATTTTAGTTTTTGCCGTATCTGTTTCTATAGCTACACGATCTTTTGAATTGTCTGCTGAAATGAACACTGTAACATGAGTCTACTCCGTGTCAATCTGCGAAAGCACTCTCTACTGGGGGTTTAATGTCTGCATGCATGTGCCTGCCAGGCGTTCTCTACAGCTGATTTGTGTATTCAAAGCATAATGGCAGTTTGTTTGGTGAAGATAATATAATCCTGTAAATACTTTGACAAAAAAAGAAATAACAGCAACTGCCTGTCTCACTCCTAATTCTCTATTTCTGAATTCTTACCCCGTTAGAGTTGCATCATGCAGGTGGAGTTCACTAAACCAGAAGGAGGAGGCCTTGGCTTCGCTTTGATTGGGGGAACAAATGGCAGCATGCTCAGAGTGAAGGAAATATGCTCTGGTGGAGTAGCAGAGCAGGACGGTCGGCTGAGAGTGGGAGATATTCTATTAGAGGTAACAACACATCATACATCTTGACTGTTTTATTACCTCCACAGCGGGAAGGACCTTGATTGTCACTGTGTGTATGCTAGGTGAACGGTGTGATTGTGTCCGGACTGAGCCACAGCAAGGTGGTGGATATCCTGCGTAAAGCTGAGGGCACTGTACAGCTCACCATCTGCAGAGACATCCTGCCCCTGACCTACTCCGAGGCACCGACACCACCCAACATGTCCATCCACACTGAAGCTATCTTAGCTGAGCAGCCAGCTCCTGCATCCAGCCCAGATGCCTGTACCTCACCAGACGTCATGCTGAACAGGCCAGTCGAATGCCCCCCTGGTACGATCTCTAAAAACTGTTTTTATATTTTTCATTCATTTGTAGAAGGTCAATATGGTGTTGTAGATTCTGTGAAACTTGGAATTTTTCATTTGTAAGACAATGCTCTCTTTTTTTCTCATGTCACATGTTTCTCACTGTGGCCTTATTTTTTACTGCCATATAGAAACCTGCAACTTTATGAAAACAACACAGCCATGGCTGGATGTAGAGAGAAGTCGAAAAAAATGTCTTTTGTGAAGCAAAACAAGTTATAGTGTCATAAAAAAGCAAACATTTAATTTATTTAATTATGTATACATGTTTCAAAAATTGACAAAACCTTACAGCATTTTTCCAACTGCCCACAGGTGTTACCAATACTGGAAAAATGGTGACTGTACATACTATAGAGACTTGACTACTTATATTTTTAATTTGTTCCCATACTTGTCTCTTATCTATGAAAGTACAGCCTGCAGTTCAACCCAGTTCAGCTGAAAAGTTCCTGAATTTTTGTTACATGACTGTTGATCCAAGTTAAATCATTAATGGCTTCTTAGTTGTGCTAGGTAGTGTGGAATTTTGTGTTTTTAACAGAATCTTGTTGTCACAAATTTTACTTTTTTTTTTTTTTTAATGACTCATGAAGAATATGTGATTTTCATGAAATGTCACAGTTTTAAGTTTAGATTTGTTTAATTTTCACAGTATAATGGCACGTTACTCGTTATGAATTGTCCAATGACCGCCGAAAAGTTGAACATCCAATGATTGTTTCTGTTTATACAGTTTCAGCCTCTGATAAATGGTGTCATTTTGACAGTTTTTTTAAAAACAAGAACATCTACAAACCTACTGGCCGGTTTTGGGGTTTAGAGGTTTCATGGGCAACATTTATAAAATTTAGATTATTTTTTTTCAATCTTTGTATTTATTCAGTGCTTCATTTGCTGTTTCAGAGGCAACTTCAGACCCTGTGGTTAATGAAGCAGATGTTGTCCTAACTTCACCACCTCCTCCACCTCACCGACTGACTGTTGTAACAGATGAGGTTTCAATCAAAGAGGTAATAATAGATACTAACTCACTCTTTAACCACAGCTTAATAATTATAACATGAATATATGTTTTTTTAATGAAATCATACCCCTACTTACCTCTTTACTAACATGTACTACTAACATCTTGCTCCTCCCGTCTGTTGCGTCCTGTGGCTGCTTGTCTGTGGAACAGGAGAGTTGTAACAGCACCCCTTCTCATCAAGCTTGCTGCCCATCCCTCAATGTCACTGACATGTTGCATGGAGCTTCTGACAGGTAGTAACATCCCAAACTACTCACCTTTTGTATAGTCTATGTGTTTCCTCTCACCCTTGTCCACCTCCTTGCTTCTTCTTTTGTTGGAGTTCCACTTTTAGCCATGAGGAGGCAGCAGAGAGCAATAAATAAAACAAGACTCTGGGATTAAGGCTTGTGGGCTATGAACTTCAATGAGACAGAAAATAGTGAAACAGCTAGGAAGTGTTTAGTACCATTTCCTGTAGCCTCAAAACAACAGGTACAGCAGCAGTAAAAAGGTATTTTAGCCTCTTGTCTATACTGTATTTTAGGTGGAAAAGTCGCAGGGAAAGGAAGCTCAGCCTTGCATGATTTCATCCCCTCCTACCGAAGAGTAAAAATGGTCTGGTCTCACCCCTGCCCCCTGACTCCCCCAGGAAACAAATTGTGACCAAACTTTTGGACCAGTCCTGCAAAGACATCCGGAAAACCCAGTCAGATGGCTGGAGCAGCGAAGAAGATGATGATGTATTTGACGCCGCAGGTCAGGAACTGACCTCCCTCCAAACAGGTGTCTATCCCTCTACTCTTCTATTGTGTTGATGTGTCAGAGTGAAGATTTTATCTGAGCAGAGCTATAAAAGCAACACTTTTGTCCCTTTGTCTCCTCAGGCCCACCAATAGTATCAGAGGAGGAGCTGGCCAGTCTCGCTCTCATTACTCCTGCAAAGACCAGCCAGTATTCAGGCTCCAGGGTCAAAGCTCTCATCCAGATTCTGCAGCATCAATTGGACCAGCAGGAACTGGTCAAAGAGTTCATGGTGTGTATATGTGGACAAAATAGATTCATATTTATCGAACAGTGTAATGCATAGCTGAAATATTACCTCAACAAAGGGTAAAATTACACATTGACCAGTTAATGTGACATTGACTTCACCTGAGCTGATCCTGACAGAAGACATTGAGACACCTTGAAAGAAAAGCAACAAAAATACATACACAGACGCTCAATCAACGTTAAACTTTGCAGTCGTAGGCTATTTTTATGAACTATTTTAGCTTTTTGTCCTTTTTGTTATTGGGTTCGTGTTGTTCATTTCAGGCTCTGGAGCATCTGAAGCCCTCTGACAACTGTCTGGTGGGAAAAGCCCCTGAAAACAGAGACAAGAACCGCTACAGGGACATCCTACCTTGTAAGATGACTTCTTTTACTTTCTCTGGTTAGAATGTAAACTTTCACTTTCTCCATTTGTTCAAACCGTGCGTTTTATGTTCCCTTTTCTGAGTTTTTTTATTGGTCGGCCTAAAGCTTGTAAAAGGTGGATACTCACAGACTTGGCATTTATAGGAGAGTCTGTTTGTTGGCACTTTCCTTCGTCACTTAGTTTGAGCTGAATCTAAGGTCTTTACTGAAAGGAGAAGAGATATTTGTTTACAACACTTAAGTAATTTCTGCTCAATAAATTATGCGCCTCATGAGCACCAGTAATTCACTGGTAGCACACTTGTAATTTTCTGCAGAGTAGAGATGAAGAAGATCCTTGTAATTATCTAGGATTTATATTTTTAATAAAGGAAGCAGCATCAGGAGTAATAATATTACAGCTGTATTACCGTTATGGATTTCAGTTGGCAGATACAGAGCGGCAGGAGGTATTTGTGCTATTCTCTCTGAGATTAATACTAAGAATGTAATTAATGTAAAGTAGCTGGAAAACATGCACACACATGTGCACACGTGTAACATGCACAGAAGCATTTACTTCTCAAGCCGGGTGTTCTGGGGTGAAATAGCTCAGAGTTGAGATGAATGAGGGTGATGAAAAGAGCAGAGACCCCCAATGGAATAGCACTGCACCTCACCATATCCCTTGTTGCTTGTTACAACTGCTGTTTGTGCAAGTAGTCCCGGAAAAAAGTTATTTACCGATCCAATCCCACAGCTTGTAGCCTTTAACTATTCTATTTAGAAAGCCAGATTTCCAGTCTGTGGCTTTTTTTAACCTCACAAGCAGGAGGTGCAGGACTAACCCAGAAAACATTCCTACCTCACTCTGGTCTATCACTCCTCTCATCACCAACAAACATCTTCACAGCTCTGGTTTGCCTCACACATGTTTGCTTGGCTTTACTTAATGTGCACTTAGTTTGCACGCTTTTTGGCAATACAAGATAGCCTTGTTCGCTGTTCACAAAAATGTATTAAATGTGAAAACATAAAGGATATCTGCTGATTAGTTAGTGGGAGGATACTAAAAGAGGTGTAGCTTTTTATTTCAGTTATGAACTCATGTGATGTATACTCACACGCAGAGAATCCAGGTTATTTTTTCCCGTTCCTCCCATAGATGACAAAACCCGTGTTGCTATCGGAGAGAACCAGGACTACATCAACGCCAGCTACATCCGCATGCAAGTCGGAGCTGAAGAGTTCTTCTACATCTCCTGCCAGGGCCCTCTGCCGTCCACAGTGCAGGCCTTCTGGCAGATGATCTGGGAAAACAAATCTGACGTCATTTCCATGATGACCCAGGAAGTGGAACGGGGAAGGATCAAATGTCACAAGTATTGGCCCGAGAGGCTGGGTGTGCCTATGAACACTGGCAGGTACCAGCTTCACCTGGACAACCAACAGTACCTGGAATACTTCCACATCAAGATCATCCGCATGGTGGAGACAGAGGTGAGACGGAGGAGCAGGAACACCTACCTTTCTAATGACATGCAATATTATGGTTTACTATAAAATTTAAATGTGACTTTTACTGAAATTCTGTCATTCCAGACTGGTGAGACGCACTTTGTTCGTCACATGAAGTTCACACACTGGCCTGACCACGGCGTGCCGCATTGCTCTGAGCAGCTGGTTCGCTTCATCCGCTACTTGAGGGTGGTGCACCACAAGGGGCCTGTCACCGTGCACTGCAGTGCTGGCATCGGGCGCACAGGAGTTCTCATCTGTACCGACATTATCCTTAGCCTCATTGAAAAAGATTTGCCTGTGAGTATAGACCAGTTTTACGGGTTTACGTATAAGTTTACCAAATCATTTTGTTTGTTTTAGCCGTGGTTCTAGAGATGGTACTTTCAGTTGACCTCCACTACTTTGGTCCAGACTGAAATGTTTCAGCATTTATCAGATGGATTTTGTACAGCCAGGTCACATAGAATAAATCCTACTGATGTTAATGTTCTTCTGACTTTTCCTCGAACACCACCAGCAGGTTGACATTCTAGATTCTTAGTAAAATATCAGACAACGATGATTTAAGATATGCCTTTATTAATCCCACAGTAATCCCACAGGGAACATTAGTAGAAAACAGAAATAAATAAAAATTAGACATAGGTACTGACTCTTCCATGTGTGGAGATTCAGTTATTGAACAGAAAAAAATCTTCTGGTTGTGGAAAATAACAATATTTCATATATTTATGCACGTATCACTATTAAATAGATTGCTTTTATATTTACATCACCTTCACATTCCACTCAGGATGCATTGTAATAACTTTGGTGTCTCCTGACTTTTTATCTCGTGGCATCATCAGGTCACTTTTTAATTTGTCCAGTCATCAAACCTAAAAAAAATTCAAGCATAGCCTGTACTATTCTTTCTTTACTGCTTATTTGCAAATGGTTGTATGTTGACACGCTAAATTAAGATGATGACCACGATAAACATACCTGATAAACATCAGAATACTGTCGCTTTTAACTCAAAACACCACTGTGTCTAGCATGGCAATAGACTCTCAGTTTTGTTAATTTATTATGGATATTACAAGTGAAACATAGCCATAGATTACATGCGTGCTGGAGTAGTGCTTAACTACCTTCTGTCTCTGTCTTCAGATTAATGTGAGCGACATCGTAAAAGAGATGAGACTTCAGCGGCATGGGATGATTCAAACCAAGGTCAGTGCCAACGGAAAGGTTTAAGTTCAGAGTTCAAGCTTTAAACAGAGACGGTTCCCAAAAGCTAGACGTGTTCTTTGTCGCTCTCGTTTCAGGAACAGTATCTCTTCTGCTACAAAGTCTGGTTGGAAGTTTTACAGGGGATTTTACAGCTTCACGGCAACCAATGGCAGCCAGAAAGTCCCAGAGACCACAAAGTTGTTTGAATGTTTCCACCCCCAGTTCACCTACCTGTAAGGCACAGGCTGTGTATGTTTGACCATGTGCAGTCTATCACAGCATAGCGATCCACTGGTGAGACCTTTTCCTTTGGCTGTCCTTAGTTTAGTTTGCTATAATATGAAATCTGTACTTCTCTGTTTTGCTACAATGACTTCAACTTTAATTTTTTTGTCTGTGTATGTGTTCTCGGTGCTGTGATTATGTCAATTTAATTTAGATCACTGAGGTTGTTTTGCCTTTTCAGGTTTAGTGATTTGCCTTCTGTCTCAATCATCTTTTTTTTTTTTTAAATTTTGTGTCACTATTTGATTGTATCTCATTTATTTTTTCTCCATGTCTTTTAATTTGCAAATTGCATTTATTTTTAAGTCATATTTGCATGGAATCTAAAATCTGGTAATATTCACATCTTTTATCTGGCAGCGATGTCGTCAAAGTGCACAAGTACAAGATCATCAAACCAAAGTTAGTGTCCGTTTAAAACCTTCATGTTTAGCATTGATTAAGCATTATGTTATCATTTCATTTAAGTGCATTTGTACCCTGGAGAAAGGGGCAAAAGACCATTATTGATTTTTCAATTCATTATCTAAGGAAATGAAAAGAATCAAGTGCCTTGGAAAGACACGCCCCACTTGCTCCATATTGACCCCAGGCCACTTGTCACAAGCGGTCAGGGACGGAGAGCAAGAGACTGATTTGAGAGCACCTGACGGTGGTTAGATTGAATGTGCAGCTTTCAGTCTCTTCGTGGTCTGAGGTGGACATTTGGTTGATCCAAACCAGAGGAGGATTACATCTCACCTTTTAGTTAGTTACTGTAAATTGTAACTTCGAAACAGTGTGATGTTTGCACACCGCCTGTCAATCTTTTTTTGTTTGTGGGCTCATTTTATACAAAACACTATCACAAGGAAAGTTTTACTACACATAATCACAACTTGCACATCCTAATACAGATAAAGAATGATTCCACATAAATAAAAAAAAACGTTTTGGATAAATTCATAAATTTTCACTATTTTACTAAAATTTGGACTAGGCATTAACACTAAGTGTTCAGATTTTTTTGTAAAACGTACAAAACTGATTTAAATGTAATGTAATTAATTAGTCGCTGGGCTTTTAAGTGTAATTTGTTATGTGACAACATCCTTTATCTGTATTCCATAGCTATTTTAATACAAACTCAGCCAAAAATGCAAAAAATATTATGAGGTTTACAAACTTTCCATTTTGCCACTTTAGAAAACTGAACAAAGCAACAGAGCTGCACACATCTTCAAGTTACAGATCAAAGATGATTTATAGCTGCTGGTTTGAACCTCAACCTTTGGATGTCACTGCTTGTGAGCTTTGTTCATTTAGCTGCTATCAAACACACACCAGCTCTCCTATTGCATGCAGACTCTTAAAGTACAGAAGTCTTAGCCTGGAGTTTGACCGAATGACTTGATCAAAATGTGGAATGTAACAAAGCAATACTCTCCATGAGGAGAGGGGATCAGAATGTCATTCTCTTACCTGATAACATCTTCCAAACAGTTTGGAGCATGTTGGTAAGACATATGCTGTACTGTACCTTTGCCATGTGGATGGCCATGCAGAGCCATCAGCCTCTGTACTGTGTATGCAACATCTGTTCACTCAGTGCTGGTCAGTTGGTTTCCAGCGACAGCTAACCCTCTGTTATGTGCAAGTTCATGTTCTCTTTGAGATCCTGTTGATATGTTTTTCTTCCTCAGATCTTGGAAAATTATAATTCTTGAAAGAACAAACTAAAGCACATTTTGCATTCATCTGTGAAAATGCATCTTGTACAGTCAAGCAAGTGCTTATGCAGTAGCATTGTGAAATGTAATAACCCTTAATTGCACAACAGCTTATTTATGCTAAATTAATATCTTGTCACTGTACCAGCCACTATGTAACCAATAACTGAGAACAATGTAATACCTCTCTCTTTAATTAAAACCTATTCTGAAACTTGTTTGTGTGTTATACAACACATTTTACCCCTTGACTCCGAACGCAACATAATTCAACTTGAACAACGGAACAAGAGCTCGCAGAGAGGGTTTTCCCTGACGGCACACACAGAACAGAGAGCCGGAGGCGGCCCTAAATCTAATTCCACTGCGCCCCCTCTCCACTTTTACTGCAGGGTATACTCCCTCTCGGGTTTTACTGCAGGGTAAATAAGCTGGTCTCACAGGGGTCTTTTGTGACAGCATGGAAACCCCTGGAAACACACTGCACGCTCCGCACACATATAAACCTGATGCTGGGGAAGCCACAGAGCAGATTTACTCGCTCACTTTCTCTCCAGTCTCTCTCGGTCTACTCCCACTGCCCTTGTGCTCTTTATCTACAACCTCCCCACTCACATGCATACACAAGCCTCCAGTCACCCACCCCCCTCCCTCCTCGTTCTCCTTGCTCCTCATCTCAGACCCTTGTTATTGCTGTAAGTTATGGCAAACGCGACAGCAACTCAAGTTATTCAAGTCCCATTCCCATTTATTGATGTATCATTTTATCAAGCAGTTGTCCTTTCAATTTCAAACCTCAAGACATGAGAAGAGTTACAGACTGGCTCACTGGCATAAAGGTGATATTGAAGTAGGTTGGATGAGAACTGTAAATCTGCTGTGCCTCGATGTCAAAATATCCAAAGTGAAAATGACCAGAGATCACAGCAGAGTATCTCCTGGACAGAGCACATGCAGAGTGTAACAATTTAGCAATCAGGAGCTTGTAGAGCTGCAAACAAAGTTGGTGGTAAAGTCATTAGCAGAGGGCAGATCAGTCAGAGAGTGTGATTTAAAGGCCTAAGCAACGCGCAGAAATGAGATCACATGCTCTCAGTAAATCTTCTTGCTCTCTGTTGGGCTCACAGAGTCTGTTTTCCTTTGCTGTTAGAAAATAGTACACAAAATGTGTGCACTCTCTACACACACATGCACACACACACCTACCCACCACCCTCTTTTGATGTTGATCCCATCACCTTTCAGCTTGTAGTTCTGTAAGTCTTTGTAAAATGGTAAAGAAATTCATAGAGTTTTTGTGGTTTTGTAGGACTGATGCAGCTCTAGCCTTCTGTTCACCTGAATAATGAATGAATAAATGAATGAGGACATGCACGGGATGTGAAACCCACAATGATGCAGCTGGAGAATATTACAACAATCATAACAATTTCACATTATTCTGGTTTGTATTCACTCCACAGAAGCTCCTGTGGGCCTAAAGAAAGCTCTGTGAGCTACCTTTGTCATAATGATTCCTCTGACAGGTCTTTCAGGGTTTAAGAGGTTAAGTATGACCTTCCCTCTGCAGCGGATCTCAAGAGGGCTGAGAATTATTACCCTGCAGGATGTTTGCAAAATAGGTCCCGTCATAGACGATTTGGACTCTCAGAAAAACACAGGCATGAATTCCAGCTTGTGTTTTCTCATCAGCCAGCAGGATTAACCTCAAACTGATAAAGAGGAGCTATCAGAGAGCCAAGAGCATGTGTGGACGCTGGACGATAAGGTGAGTCAGACTGAGGGTTGACACTGAAACAGCCTCATGAATTAAAAAATAACCACTGCAATATAACAATAAATGTCTCAGTGATGAATTTACATCCAGGCACATTTTTTTTTTCTCAAATGCAAATTCATTTAGCTCTATGTGTGAAACAGACTTTCACAATTTAAAAAAAAATCACTTGTGAATATGCAAGCTATGGACATTTTTCACATGCAAGTTTTGCATCAGAATTATAAAATTTCAGTTTTCCTTCTTCCAACACACCTGATTCAAATGAGCAGCTCATCATCAAGCTCTGCAGAAGCCTGATAACGATCCTGATCATTTGAATCAGGTGTGTTGGAAGAAGGAAACATCTAAAACTTGCAGGATTGCAGCCCTCGAGGACCGGAGTTCGAGACCCCTGCTCTAAACCATTTGGACAAAAGCTTTTTAAGAAGTAGAAACACATTCTTAACCCACAAAGGAATAAAATGCATTAAATTGTTTTTAATAATTCTAAATCATCAAATCTGGGGATTCATAGAGGCTTGTTAAGAATTTCACATGTGGTCTTTTAGAAGCATGTGTGCATTTTAGAAACAACAGCAGCAAAAAAAAAATGTAATTTACTCATTCAGCAGATGTTAAGCAACATTTATTCGGAGCTGTGTTCCTGGCAATCTGACAAGACGGATAGAATTGGTCTCCACGAACTACTCTGCATAGTATTTGGCCATTAAGACGCTACATGCTCTACCATATTCACCCACTATTTCCTAATTTTGTCCTCTGCTGTTTGTTGATCAGCAGGCGACCAATAGTTGTACCTAGAGATCAAAACTGCTGTACCCAAAAATGATAGAGAATGTTAGAATAAATCAATAAGCACAGTTTATATGTAAATATATCATGTGATTCATTGTTGACAAAAACAAAAACAGAAACAAAAAATAGTGATTCCACCTGCTTAAAAGTAGATTTATAAACAAATCAATGCTGTTGTCATCTCTGACGTCTCCCTTAGATTTTTCTCTGTTGGAGCAGCAACATGCTGAGTGTGAGTAGACGACAGCAGGAAAGGTGCTGTTGATCCACCTGTGTGCTACATAAAGTGGAAGTCAGAAAATGTCTCCCTGTCATCAACACAGTGAAAGAGCCTTTTAATATACTGCAGATGTCAATCAAATACAGACGTGTATCTTCTCAAACCTGAACTGAACTGTCTATATTCCAAAATGGTGAACTTGATTGAGTTTCAAGAAGCTAAATAAATGAGCAGTAATGTGTTTTCCTGCGTTGTTGTTGACCATGCCCTTTGTAAGTCGACCCCATAGGCTCCTCTGTGATGACAGCCCGCTGACAGAGACACAGAAGAGCCATTCATCCGCTCTCTGAGCAGAATGTCACTTTTGTGGCTTTCCAGACTTTTCAAAAAACCGCAGACTTGTCAAAGGAAACCGATTATGATTATGGCCTCCTCTTGTATGTTCACTTGCAATT